ATACTAAGTCTCCTACCAACATCACACTTTTTGCTCATATGCCTCTGAACACAATGTTAGGGCCCTGTACAGAACACGAGGGATGCCCTGATGGGTCAGACCAAGGTCCAGCTATCACCAGTATCATTCCTCCAGTTACAGGAGATGCTACTAAAAAAGACCATGCAAGCCTGCCCACTTTATGCATGTCCCTTGTTCTCCTCCAGCATCCACAACCACTGCATTAGTGATGCTAGAGAGCACATCCCTACTCGTTCCTTGAGTATCTCTTTATGAACCTGTAGTCCATTTAATTCAGCTTCTTTTTCAGTCTGCTGACCTACCTGCTCCCAAAAACCTCTGCTAGCAGTAAATTCCTCAAGTTAACAACCTGCCACATAAAAAGTATTTCCTTCAGTCTTTCCTAAAGCAATCTGCTATTGGTTTCAATAAGTGCCCCTAATTCTAGTGCTGCAGAACTTGGAGAATAACAATGTGCATTCACCCTACCCACTGCCTTCATTTTGTAAATCCTGACCATAGCCACCCTCTCCAAATTGAAACTCTTGCTGCAGAGTGCCCCCCTCCTGTGTACCCCCTGAGAGCATGGCACGTGGGTTTGGGCAGGACAGTCTGTCAGCCTTTCACTCCCCTCTTCCATGCATAAGCAAGGATCCCAGGAACCATCGGCTCTCCACGACTGCAATGACAGAGCAGAAATGTCAGCAGTAAGCGATGCCCTTTTCCAGTTTCCTGATGATTTATCATAATTACTTGGCACAGAGTTCACTGAGTGCCAAAGCTGGTTCATGGGAGGGACCGAGAATGTGGAAGCCAGCAACTGAAATAACCTCAGTTATTGTGAAATCACAGCTCGAGCCACTGTTTGTGCACCCATTAAAGGCCAGGATCTCGTAGAGCTCTTCCCTTTGGGAGAGATGTGTTTTCCTTTCCTTTCTGTTTTGGTGTTAGAATGATCTGAAGGATGTCTATGATTTGGGTATACCTGTTCAAAAGACCACTAAATTGTCTATAGTGGACTTGAGCAAAGATAGAGCTCGAACAGTGTCCATCAACTGATGTCTAGGAAAGAGTAAGGACAGGGAATGCAGATACGAATTTTCATCCTAAAACTTTCCTACCTTCAGGCTATTTTGCAGCTCAAAGAAGCTGCCGTGAGGCATATACAGTTTTAAATATGCCTTGGTGCTCCTGCTAGAATTTGGGAAGGGTGAGTGATCCTGTGCCTGTGGGCTCAGGCAAGCTGTTGTCTGGCAAATTTGTCTCTCAGTGTGTGAAGCTGCAAACAGCCCCTCCTGTACCAAGCACACAGTGCTGAGAGGCATCAGAGACCTGATTTCTACCACAGGACCACAAATACTGCCAGAGGGGTCTGAGAGCACACGCACGCACACATTTCCCTCCTCCCTCCCAAGAAACTTTCATCTTCACGAGTTGCTTTCAGCCAGCTACAAACAACACACAATGACAAACAAGCCGCTTCAAATGAGTCTGAAATCCCGTGGGGTTTCACTCCGACTTCCTGAACGACCCTTAAATCCACATATCTATTAAGAAAGATGGGAAATGTGGGACAGAAGCCCAGCACAGCTAGTGGTCCTAATCTGGGTTTATTTAAATCCAGGATTCCCGAGGCACTGAAGGGAAAAATCCCCATTTCTTCAGGAGACACATTCTATCAGCTTTTGAAAACTCAGTCGGGAAAAGCAAACCTCTGTGCCGATGAGAACCCAAGGCAGCTGGATCACTCACTCTTAACCCCTGCTACAGCCCTTTGACCATGCTTGGTGGGCAGAAACCATTTTTTTTACACATGCTCTGTCAAATCCCTGCATATCACAATCACATTCTTCCATTTTGTCCTCCTTAATCCCTCCGGTACTAAAGGCAGCAAGAACCCAATAACTCTGGAGCTGTCACCATAAAATCCTGCTGGATATTGTCAGCCTGCAGGGTCCACGTGGACATGTACCTTTATTGAACAAAATAAGGGACTGGAAAGGAGAATCAGAAACTAAGAGGCCCTTTTGGCAGCGAGCCTCTAAATTAGAGCACCAGCTCCACTTGATCCCACTGTCTATGTCATTGATGAAGATATTAAACAGTACCGATCCCAGGACAGGCCCCTGAGGGACACCACTCGCCACCAGCCTCCACCTGGACATGGAGCCATTGACCACCACTCTCTGGGTACGGCCTTCAAGCCAATTCCTTATCCACTGAATGGTCCACCCACCAAATCCATCCCTCTCCAATCTGGAGATCAGGATGTCATGTGGGTCTATGTTAAAGGCCTTATGGAAGCGCAGGTAGATGACATCGATCAGTCTTTCCTTGTCAACTGATGCAGTCACCCCATCACAGAAGGCCACCAGATTTTTCAGGCATGATTTGCCCTTGGTGAAGCCATGCTGGCTGTCTTGGATCACCTCCTTGTCTCACATGTGCCTTGACATTGCTTCCAGGAGGAACTTTTCCATGATCTTTCTGGGCACAGACGTGAGGCTTACCAGTCGTTAGTTCCCCTGATCCTCTTTTCTACCCTTTCTAAAAATGGGAGTGATATTCCCCTTTTTTTCCAGTCACCAGGGACTTCACCTGACTGCCAGGACTTTTCAAATATGATGGAAAGAGGCTTGGCGACTACATCAGCCAGTTAGCATTAAACCCTACTTACAGTCTTCAGTGTTCATATAGGAAGACCAGCAAAAGCTATAAGCAGCTTATAGCAGGAGATGGGTCTTGTGTGTGATCCTTTCTGCCAGTACCCTAACAACAGGTAGCCAAGCAAAAACGTTCAAGGAGAAGGAGATGAGCTGTTACATTGCATCCCAAGCCCTTCTACTCTTCTTGTTTTATACAAAACACTTGTAAATCAAGACAGAAGTGCAGCCTTTCTCTGGAGAGAGTATATACATTTGGACATGAATGCAGATGGGCCTAAAAAAGGCATCATATTATCAATACAGATGGAAACTTCTGGGCACTGCCTGTAAAATATTGAGAAGCTTCCTGTCAATATATTTATCCCTTTCTCTCTTCAGGTCTCATTTTCATGAAGATGAAAAGCATATCCCTGAAATTAAAGCAAAAAATGAAAGCTGCTTTTCCAAACCAGAGAGATGCTAGAAACTGTTCAATGAAACAGTTCTGTTTATAATGGACAAAAACGTGTATTCTCCCCTAAATTCATCCTTGTAGTTGGCTCAGCTCTTGTAAATGGAACTCTCCAAAAACAAAGCAAACAAATCATAACATAAGACAAAATAACCAAAACAAGCTAAAATAAAGCAGCTGGAAGTAGACACCCAACAGGGGAAATTTCAGCTCAAACTGGCAGTTAGGAACAACTGAAAATGAGAATAGAAAGTGCTAAGCAACATTAACACTAGCTTTGCTGCAAGCTCTGTTATACCTCGCTGTTAGGACCGCGGGGTATGATTTGCCATGTTACCAACAAACTAATTGAATGAATTCTCCTCCCACTAAAAACCTCCCCCAGGAGAGGGAATGGTTTCACAACAGACAGTAGTTTAAGTAACAGCTTAGGGAAAACAATACCAAATATGTTTCATAATTGAAAGTGTAGGAGAACATAACAAGCAGAGTGTAATTATGAGAATTCAAATTTAGCCCAGACTTCTGGGCTATCCAGTCATCAGTGAGGAGTGTCATTGAATCAGTAACCACAACTGGTCATTATCCTGTAGGTGCCAAGAGACACTGAATTTGTTCCTCTTTGGAGCCACCTCAGACAGAACTATATGATTTTACTCAGTTTAATCCACTGTTTATTTTGCTGTGCTCTTCAAGAGCCGCAAGTCTCAGAATACATCATAAGGAAATCCAAGCTATCTGGGCCTCAGCTTCACAAATCCTCTTTTGGTTTGCATTTTGGAGCCGTCCTGCCCTCAAGTGTCCTGTGCTTGTTTTCCAATGTCGCTGTACCTTTCCTCTTCCTTCCCACAGACACTTGTGAGATAAGGAGAACGGTTCTGTTTTCCACTGAGCAGACAGACTTGGACAGCTCGCATGGAGTGGGTTTGTGTCCCAACAATTAAACGCTAACAGAAAAAACAAATGGAACGTTAGTAGTGGAAATAAAGTACGTTAACCCTAATGAGAGTACTGATTCACTTTCCAGCGAACTCTTTGGAGCGGAAAACTCCCACACCTTTAAGCAAAGACATCTAAAGGAAAAACAAGGTTTTGGCAGGGATTCTGAAATGACCCCTGAAGAAGGCAGGTATCCAAGTCCGATTACATGGCGTTGTGCGTCTCCCCCTGCGGCCATGCTTACGTTCGGCCTGCTCGCAGGAACAATGGGAAGTGTGGGGAATGTCAGACAGGCACCCCTGAGCTGAAGGACATGTCCCGCACCGGTCGAGAACAGCTTGTTTGAGAGAAAGCTAAAGGAATATTGAGGGGGATGAGAAAAAAACGCACTAAAATAGCCCATAGTGGAACAGCTCCAACAAACAAGGCCAGCAGATGAGGAGGGAATCCGCTAGAATAACCACGTCAAACGGCTTCATAAATGAGCTACATGTGTAGCATCAGAGTCTCGGGGTTTAGGTCTGCCGCTTTCCCTGGACAAACAAACAAAATCAGCATCCTGCCTGCGTGTCTGCATGCAGACAGCCCTCCGCTTGTAAGGATGCAGGCCAGGGACCGGGGCTGGCTTGGGCAATTAACACAGGGAAGAACAACCCTGTGTGAAGGGCTGCGGGCACAGCAGGGACCAGCCTCCGTGCTGGGTCGCAGGGTGGCTCTGAGGGGGGTTTCAGACTTAAAATCCCAAATTAAAGCCCAGATCCTTCTCGCTGCAGGTCGAGGACTTCCACCAAGCAGCAGACGACCCTCGCAGAGCCGTGGGCTGCCGCTGAGGGGCGCAGAGCCCCGTTGCCCTCCGTGCCACCCCAGTTTTGTCCCCACATTTCGTTTTTCCTCCCCGTTTCGGCCAAACTCCCCCAAAACACCGCTCCCCTTCATGGCCGCGCCATAGCGCAGCCGGGTCCCGCCGCCATGATGGCGGCAGGCGCCCTCCAGCCCCTTCGCTCCTCCTCGCTCCTCCTCGGCCCCGCCGAGGGGCACAAACCGGGGAAGGGGCAGCGAGGAGGGAGCCAGGGGCACCCCGCAGCGCCTCACGCCGCCCGCCGGCAGCGGGGAAGGCGGAGCGGAGCGGAGGGAGGGCGGAGGGCGGCGGGACGAGGTACGGGGAGAGCGGCCGGGGGGCGAGCGGGCGGCGAGGGGGGGCTCCGCTGCCTCCCTGCTGCGGCCGGGGGCTGCCACGCAGGCGGCTCCTCGCTGCCCGCAGCGGCACCGGGGCCGCCGCGGGAGCCGCCGCCGCCAGCGGGAGCTCGGAGCTTGGGGCTGGGGAGGCCGAGGCCCGGCGCCGGGCAGGGCTGCAGCGGGGAGCCGGGCAGGGCCGGGGGCTGGGGGAACGGGGAGCGAGGGGGCAGCAAGGGGGTGGGTGGAAGCCAGGCTCTGGTCGGGTCCTGGTGCAGCCCTGCGTCTTCCTTCCCCGGGGGGTTATGGACAATATAGGGCTCGTTCTGAGTTGCTTGTTTTGATATTAAAAGCTTGGCATGAAGTGACGAGTGTGTGCGTTTTCCTGCTGCCGTCTTAACACCAGACACGGTGCCGCGGGTGGAAGGAAGGGTGCACTGAGATTGATGTGGGAGAAGGAAGGGAGCGGTGGGGCCTTCCCGTGGGTGCTGTGCGTGACACATCACGTTTTTCAGGCGTTCGAAGGTCGGTTTAAGTGCCACCTGTGAAAAAGGGTTATTTCTTAGAGCTACTGCAGGTCCTGTGAGGTGCTCCACACAACCAAGGTGGGATGGCTCCCTTCCACCAGGGCTCCTGCAGGGACCTGTCCCCGGGCTGGGGAGCTGGGCAGGGGCCGGGCAGCAGCACAGTGAGGGCTGTGGGGCTGCTTCAGCACCTGCCAGACACTGCCCCTCAGGGCTTTAGTGCTGTGAGGTGCAGCTGAGGGAGGTGGGGTTGTTTAGTCTGGGGAAGAGGAGGCTGAGGGGAGACCTCATTGCTCTCTACAACTACCTGAGAGGAAGGTGTGGGGAGCTGGGGGCTCCTCACAGGTAACCAGTGATAGGACTAGAGGGAATGGCCTCAAGTTGCACCAGGGGAGGTTTAGGTGGGAAATGAGGAGACATTTCTGCTCAGGAAGAGCAGGCAGGCACTGGGACGGGTTGCCCAGGGAGGTGGTGGAGTCACTGTCACTGGGGGTGTTCAAGGAAAGGTTGGATGTGGTGCTTAGGGACATGGCTTAGTGGGTGACGCTGGTCATAGGGGGATGGTTGGATCAGATGATCTTGGAGGTCTTTTCCAACCTTAATAATTCTTTGATTTAGGAACCAAAGGAGTCAGTGGTACAGGGACTTAAACGTGCTTCTGGAGAACAGAAGCCCAGCTTCAGACCAGGTGTCATAATCTAAAAGGTATAAAAAAAGACATAGATAGGATAATGCTTTCGTATATGTGTATGTATATATATTTATACATACATACGCATACATGCATGCATGCACGCACACACACACACACATATATATATATAAAACATCCCCTAAACAGCCTGTGTGAACTGTCTGGAAACTTTGGGAAGGCTCCGAAAACTTCCCACTTCATGCTGGTGTTGTAGGGCCTGTGAGTACGCTTGGAGTACGCTATGTGCATCCTGGTTGAGAGAGCACTAAGCTGTGCACTCAGCACATCTATGTCCAGATCAACCATGCAGCACATGCGTAACAAATCTGACACTTGGGGTAGTGTCAAGCTTATTGCTTGAATATGTTTTTTGTTTTGTTTTATTTTTGTCCTGGAACGGCCTGATAGAAATATGTTATACCTAACTGTATATGTTATACTGAGCTGTAAGGAAGAGCATCAGTTTGTGCAAAGATAATACAACAGCTAACAGACACACCTTCATCCTTTAAATGTTTTGACACAGTAGTAACACAATAATCAAACACAACTTATAAGAGTGTAGTGTTACTTAGAATACTTTAAATAATGATTATTTTACTAGGAGGAAGGAACTTGTTTGTCTTCAGTTTCAATATGTTTTTCCTCCAGGGTTGGGACCATGGCTATTGACTGGATTGGATTTGCATATGCTGCACTGCTGGCTGTTGGAGGTGTTGTAGGATATACTCGCAAAGGTAAATTCATATACTTGTAAAGGTAAATACTGGTACATTGAGATTTGGCAGTCTGAGTTTCTTCTCTGATACACTTTATGAAAAAGAAATGGTGAAAGGCATGAAACGTTTCCTGTAGTGAACACATCTGTATCTTAAATCCAGCCTGCACTGCTATAAATTAACTGAATCTCATGGAATTTGCTTGGGTCAGCTTAAATGGTCACTTTTTTCTGTTTATCTAACTAATGAGTTTGTTTGCAGGGCTAAAAGCTGCTGTCATGTTATTTTTGACACTCGGTATATTTTGGGCCTTTTCATTTCCTTTAATCATTTCTGTCTTAAACATAGTAGATTATCGTTGATTAAAATTTGTTTTCTTCAGAGGAAAATCATCCTGGATTGATTTTGAGATTTCCAGATGCACACCAGGGAGAAAACCTTTTATTTACTTATTCTGATCTGGTGGTTAATTATGTCTTGAATTTTTAACGATGTTAATTTTCATTCTAAGGTAAACATGTAGGCTTTAGATTATCATGTGCACATTTCCTGTGTTCAAGTCCTTTTTGTAGTGCTTTCTATGAACTGGTCCAGCTAGCGGCGTCCTTCCTGAGCTGAGCACAGCATCCCAGCAGAGGTCGCAGTGGTACTGAGGACAGGCAGCCTGAGCTCCAGGCTTGCTGCCTGTTAGCTGTCCCGCAAAGAGCATGCCCCAGCAGCACATCACTCTTGTTCACCATGGCATTGCACCAGGAGCTGGTACCCAGCTGGTGGTATCCGTCATGATTCTTAGGATTCAGGATCACTGTTTCCCTGCAAAATTAGTGCATGCTTTGGTCCTAGAGACATTGTTTTATATCTTGACTTTTTGAAAACACTTGTGTCTTTGTTTTGTTTTGTTTTGTTTTGTTTTTTCTTTTCCTCGCTCCCATCTGCGCTCACTGAATATCCCATTCACTTGTTCTCTTCTCTTTTTACTAGTTGGTCAGTCCTTGTGGTAAATGTGATTTTTTTCTTGGTAATGATTTCTGTTTTCTTGTAGATTCTTGATTAATAACATTCAATATAACAGGACTGGGAGCTATATGACATCTGGGGTTCTAGATTCTTCCTTTATAATCATTTTGGGATCAGATTAACCCAGATATTGCCAGCTCTGCTGATTCTACACTTATCGTGTGGTGTCACGTAAAATGCATATTCGGAAACCAAAGTATATTACTGAAACTCTAAACTTTATGAACCAGTTTTATAATAGCACTGTAGGAAGATGTCAAGTTAATTTAAAAAGCTGAGTTTCTTCTTCATTGCTATGCAAGAGAATGAGTAAGAAGGGTTACATAAATATTGCCTCTCTATTTGCACAGGGTGAGTTGGCTGCACAGTGGCAGAAGCAGCTCTGTTTTTAAAATATTTGGATAATGCTGTGTCGAGAGTTACTGTGTACAGCCTGAGCTTCAAGACATTGTATGGAGAAATAACATTTGAATGTTTTCTTGCAGGTAGTAAAATCTCTTTAGCTGCTGGTCTTACCTTTGGCTCTGTGGCTGGGTATGGAGCTTACTGTGTGACATGTGATCCGAAAAATGTGAAGATATCATTGTGTAAGTGTTTTACTCCAGTAAAAAAAAAAAAAAAAAAAAAAAAAAAGGAGGTCACTGAAGTGCCTGTAATAGTCTCTTTGAGAGTTGTGACCATGTGTGAGTTTAAACGTTAATTTTTAAATAGAGTTAGACACTTTAGCTTAGCTTGCAGAATTCAAGAGCTCAAATGTGGAACTGTTTGCAAGATAAGGCAGGTCATTCGCACAAAACCAACAGGTGTGCGCTACCACCTGGCAGTGCCTCCTCTTATTAGGTGGTTACGTAACGCTGTACATATTGTGAAATCCAGCTGGGAAACATGGAAGAGATTTCTCATTAGAGATATCTGCGTTATTATCTCAGTATTATTATCTCACTAGAGATAGAGGTTAGAATTTGTTTTGAGAAGCAAAGGTGGTGCGGGATCTGGTCTTGCATAATGCAGCATTTCCTCGACTCTCAAAGAAAGAGTTGACACTGTGGTTTTCTTCTGCCAAGAAAGGCAGGGTGCAAGCTATGCAGTAGTTGTCATCCTAGCAAGCTTGCCATGAAACCCACATGGAGGTAAGGAACTAGAGTCTCTAAGGGGTACAGCATTCACCTCACGTAACCAATTTGCAATAGGAGTTCTTGGGAGCTTGTGTCACTCATGGGTTTAGTACTGATGGTGAGGCTGTGGTTTCCCATGCAAAAATACAGTTAAGATACATTTAAGCATGGGGGTTGGTCTGTTCTCCCACGTGCCTGGTGACAGGACGAGGGGGAATGGGCTTAAGTTGCGCCAGGGGAGTTTTAGGTTGGATCTTAGGAAGAACTTCTTTACCGAAAGGGTTGTTAGACACTGGAACAGGCTGCCCAGGGAAGTGGTGGAGTCACCATCCCTGGAAGTCTTTAAAAGACGTTTAGATGTAGAGCTTAGGGATATGGTTTAGTGGGGACTGTTAGCATTAGGTCAGAGGTTGGACTCGATGATCTTGAGGTCTCTTCCAACCTAGAAATTCTGTGATTCTGTGAAGCCAGATTGTGTGAGCCCACAATCACTTTTTCTGACTGTAGTCAGAACTTACAGTAGAGTGTTTCTGCTGGCTTTATGCTTTAAACCAACCATAGCTATAACAACTTTCATTTCAAAACAAAGTTGAATAGCATTTCTAGCAAAGCGCATTCACACCAACTGGGTTTTTAGCAAAGGTGGTCATAGCATATCTGATCTTCTCCTCAGTGTCCTAAAATTGGATATTCTAGTTTTGCAGTCGTGATCTTGCACATATTACTTATCCCACAGTTAAAAAAAAAAAGTAAATCTTTTTTGTAGTGAAGACAAAACCTTAAGTCTACATGAATTTGTAATCATTCATTGTGACATGCTTTTAAGCATCATCCAGTATTGTACTTACATGGGTTAGTGAAACATGAATTTGGATACAGAATTAGTGGAAGAGTAAACAATTTTTACTAAATGTGATTGCAGTAGGTGTAGAAATTCAGTATGCAACAGTTAGTGCTATTGAGAATGCAACTTGTTGTATCTGGCATATTGAATTTCTGGGTCTGATTTACTGAGTTGAATATCTATTGAATTTCTTTGATTTCAGCTGAAATAGTGAATGTCTTGCACTTTTGAAAATCAGGTTTAAAAGACGAACTTCTTAAAAAATCACCAGCACATTTGCAAAGCCGAATATTAGTAACTGGAAGAAAGAACATTACAGGCTAGACATGCTTTATAGCTTCTAATTAACTGTAAATATACTCAGGGCTCTAGATGAGACACACGCCGTGGAACAGTCTGCTCTTCAGACATTCCTGAGAGGATCAAGACTATGGGACCAGAAAATAAGAGAAAGGGATAATGGAGCAGGGTGCCCTTAATGAGTGCACATGCTTAGCTGGTAGAGTTTTCTAAGATGTGTGCAGCTGGCAGAGCTTGTCGTATAATGTTAGAATGAGTTTAAAACTGATTCTTGGCTACTGTGAGCACAGCTCTGTTCACAGGAGGAGATAGCGGAGCTGGAAGAGAGTTAGCAAGATGGTTTAACTGCTCCATAAAAATGGAGGAGATTTATGCAGCTGTCATTACTTCAGCTGCAAGAGTGATAAATCATAGCTGCCCGTGCTGCCTCTCTGCCCACTTCTAGGAAGCATTTCAGGTGACGGTTCTTTAATTTAGCTGGCTACCTTTGCAGTTTTATCTATTCTTATTAATCTTCTCATTTATTTATGTAGCACTCTGTAGTCATTAATTCAATTTGAAATCCCCATGCCTGGTTGCAGTTCATTGCTACCTCTGTTTTTAGGTAGAAGAGCTCCAGGAAGATGATATAATTCCTTTCATGATGTTTGTTCTCTGCTGTTAACACTGCATCCGATGCCCTCTTGGGCTGTCCACCTCTTGTTACTGGGAAGGACAAGAGGAAGGCTTCCTTGTAGCAAAGGAGATGGCCATATTCTGTAGCAAAAATAAGTAGCAAAGCTTCAAGTCTAGTTTTTCAGGCTTAGCAAATAAGAGTGAGCATTCTAAAAAGAAATTAGATAAAGTTGAATGCTCTAGCTGCTGGAACTGCTAGTAAGAAAAACAGTTGCGTTGGTCTAGGGTGGTGGGATTTATGAGACATTGTACCTGTAACTCAGCATAAATGTTAGTGTTACAATGAGGATTCTTCATATACTTCATTTGTAGCCCCACGAATGTAGATACGGAGGGATACACTTCACTGTCTGACAGACTTGCTTAGTATCTTTAGCGGATTTAGCATTCTGCTGCACCTGGAAACACTATTTGCTGCTGAAGGAGGTCCAGCTAGAGAATTTTGGAAAAGCAGGAATGTTTTTATAGACTTTTTTCTCTGGTCTAATATTTTATTAAACTGCATCTCATATCAAAACATAGCAATGACCTTTGATAACTCTCCATGTTCCTGAAAAGTCCACTGGGAAAAGTGAGAACATAAATATATTGATTTGCCTTTTACAGTTTCAGCTTTTCTTTTGACCCTTATCATGGGAATGAGGTTCAAGAGGTCCAAGAAATTAATGCCAGCTGGACTGGTAGCATGCCTGAGGTAAGCATCTATTGAGGATCTTAATGTAAAGATTTCACTGATTTTCAAATAGTTGTCACCCAACATCCAGTTCAGGCCAGTGTCAGTAGAGGTTACTGTTAACAGAAACTATGAAAACTAAGTGAAGTGAGTTTAGAGGTCTCGCTCCCATTTCCACTAAGCAGCTCTTTCATCTCACAAGGCAGATACATCAGAAACGGGCTTTCTCAGCAGAGAAATATTAATTAAATATTAATGCCTATCGATAAGGTTTTTCGAAGAACCTGAGGTAAGCCTCAGTGTTTCCAAACAGACATGCATAAAGCCAGACATCAAACGTCATACAACATCTTAACATCTTTAAAAAAAAAAAAAAAAAGGAAAGAAAAAAAAAAGAAAGAAAACCACTTTGACGTAGAAGTACTACATTCAAAAGTACTGGAAGCTCAGCACCTGCTAAAACTGAGATGTTTTTGAGCTGTCCTAATCACTTTGGTCAGTATTACTGCAAATTATATTACTAACCATCCTGATTTCTCTAATGCTGCTGTTTATTTTGATATTCTGAAAAACTTAATATTCTGTATTGGAGAAAGTTGAAACCTTTTTTTTTTCTCCCCCTATGAGTGAATAATGTATTATTTTTTTTTCAACTCTAAGTCAGAAACTGTTTTTTGAAGGAAGAATGACTGTCGCTTCTTTGTCACCAGACTTAATGTAACTCCATTAACTGATTTATTTGTAATGCATACAGGGAGGAAAAAATCAGATGCAAAAGTTTTGAATCAGGACTTAAACTGGAAAATATTATTTTCTGTTGTGGATCTCTTTTCAAGCCTAGGCAGACTGTTTCAATGGACACTGAGCTCTAGATTGAGACATTGTGAAAATTTGCTTACTACAGACTCTAGTGTCAGATATTTGTAAATGTGCTCTTATTTTATGAAGACTTTCATTGTTTGTGCACAGCCATACTTATAGGCTTTGTTGTGCTTTGTTTTTACAGCCTTCTGATGATTTTGAGGCTTGTTTTTATGCTGATGTAGGAGAATTTAGCAACTTAAGAATCGAAGTATGACTGTCACACCCACCTAACAAAGAGGCAGGCTCTCCGTACTTGAAAGACAAGTTTGAACACAAGTCTTAATTTGCATTTATCTTTTCTGTAAAAAATCTGTACCTGTAATTTAATTGTTGGCACTTGCTGGTATTTTGCAAGTTTTTTAAAAAACTGAAACAAATATTTTGTTGATGATGTGTTTTGATCTTCCATTTAAGCAATCTGTTAACTCAAGGGATCTATACCTGTAAGTTTGATAGCTTTCAGAGGTGCTGAGCACCCCAGGAAATTGCATTCGTCTTGCACTGTATCTCTGAGATAACATACACATAAATATCTCATTATGTTAAAAAGATAAATTGTTCTGAACCATAAATTTGTAACTTCTGTAATTAAGTAATCCATCCTAATCATATTGTCAGTTAGTAATCAATAAAGACGTGTGCCTGTACTGTCCAATACTGGAAAACCCACATTCCTTTCAAACACGTGCATCTTCTTCCACTAATTCTAAGTGTAAAAATTTTTATCAGTGTTCAAATAAAACAAAAAGTTCAAAGCTTCTCTCAGTTGTATGTACTGTACCACGTGCCACTGTGGCATTAAGGGACATGGTTTAGTGTCCCTGTTATTATATATATATATACATATATATATATAGCATTACAAATATATATATACTTATATAAAAATAAGTATATATACTTTTATATAATTATGCTTATATAAAAATGAGTATATATTATAAACATTACTATAATATTATAAAGGCCACCTATCTCTAAGCACAGACATCACATCTTAACGCTGCACAAATCCATCGGAACACCAAGCTTGTTATTCTTGGCAGGAGCCTACGTGTAGGTGGAGACAAGGTATGAGCAGCTCAAATTTCTAAGGAATATCTGACCCAAAAATAAAAAATAAACAACAAAAAAACACGCCAATGTCAGCCCCCACCTCTGAATCTTTTGCTAACAAATCCTGGTACCAGTCACCTCTCGGTGTTGGCAGGCTTACAGGTGGTTGAGTTGGTGTATTATGGATTTCAGTTTGGGGCCTTGGTACGTGCAATGGCAGCCGGACAGGTAAGATGTGTTTGTTTTTTTTTTTAATCCTGAATTAGAACTTTAAGACAGGTCAGGGGAATTGGACTGTCATGTACCATAATTACAAGCGTAGGTGACCAATGCTGATTTGGATATTTGTACTGTAGATACAGAAGAGTCCCACCTTAGATTAAGCGCTACTAAAAAAGTTTCGGCAACCTAGTGCTGAAATGTGGACACCATCCTGCAGTTGCCTGCTAGTTCAGATCCTCAGTGTAATAAGATTTTATATTTTTCAGCACCTCCAGAGTTGAGCCATTCATGCATTCTCAGAATTACCCCGTGGGGACAGGGGTTGGACTCCAAGCCCAACTGTAATCTAAAAGCTTTTGCCTAAATTTCTGTGCCACCCAAGTAAGCAGTGATCTCAGCAAGTGTCCTGTATCCCTGGTGGATTTGTGTCCGTAGGGGATTGAGCATTGCCGCAGGTAGAAATGATGTGCACTTCACTCAGAAAAGAGAAGTAGCAATATGGTTTATGGATATGATTTAACAGATGTCGAGGTACACCTGATTATAGCTGGATGATACACGTAGTTGCACACTATGTAAAAGACACTAAATGAAAGACATTGTACGCTACATAGAGACTATGTGAGGAACTGGGGTAGGCGACGTTACATCAAGGAGACCATCCCATTGAGTCTGGAGGTTCAGAGTGGACCCCCTTGCTTTCTAAACTCCATGAGCTGAAGAGGAAAGGAGCCTAGAGAGGTGTGGCTGAATCCACTCCCAGTCCCAGACTTGGTCAACAGCTTATGTCTAAAGGTTTATATGCATTACACAAACCCTTTATGCTACTTAGCCAGTGTAAAGTTTGATCATAAAGCACCATTACAGCACGCTAGCATGCTGTTACTTAGCTCTCGGATTGCTCACTGTTTATGAGATGAGATGATTGATTCTTGGTCATATTTGCATTCAGGTGTTAGTTTATTCCAAACTCAGCTTGAGTTGGACTTCCTTCTTAATTTGGCCAGCACTGTAGTTGGGAGGGGGATGTGTTGCTCAAATTAGCCCTTGGCTATTTGTCTTCTGTCTCTCCTGAATCCAGAATACAGCCGTCACGACCAGACATCCATCAGGACTGCCACTGATGTTACCTGCTTAGGCCAGATGCTCTGCTTAAGCAGGTGGTTGGGAAGGGAACACCACCACAAGCACTCACAGCATGCAGAGGCGATGCCCTGTGTCAGACCCTGCAGAGGTTCAGTAACTATTGCATTGCTTTGGAACAGAGGTGCTGCAGCTCAAACTGCTGCTGCCAGCTAGCAGGTGATCTAAATATAAAAGTGCTAGGAGCTAATGTGGGTAGTGCCTAGGTGAGGGGGCTGTTCCAGTTTGTACTTGAGGTACAATATGTGGCTCCTAAACAAGTCAGAGAAAGAGGTAACTTTGCTGGGCTAACACTGTCTCTACACTGGCTTCTCTGCCTTATCAGTCTGAGTCCTACTGAGAAAGAAAAAAAAAAAAAAAAAAGGAAGGAATTGTTTATGGCACTATTTGTAACAGTGATGGTTCCTGTGAAATTAGGGTAAAGAATCTGAAACAAGTTTTATCCCAACAGTGCTTAAAGCATTCATAAACTCTTACAGAAAAGGTGAGCAGCCTCACAGCTCTCTTGAGAGTTCTTACTTGAGAAGTAACTGGGGAAAATGAAATCTTACCGAAGTCAAGCAGCATTTTCCCTGCTGGGGCAATCCAGCCAAGCAACAAGAGGAGAAGCAAGGGTGTAAGTAGCACGGATGAAAACTACATGGAACTAATTAGACAAATGTACTTTGATCTTTCAGTGAAACAAAATCTCTTCTAAGAGATTCATGTGAGGATTAAAATAGTTTCTTGCTTTCACCCATAAATCACGAGTTCTAATTTATATTTGCTATTTATATAGCTTTTAAACTGTAGCTCTAAAAGTACAGACAGCAAATAAAAAGAGCAGGGGAACACTGAATTTTGGAAATATTGCAATTAAGTAAACATAGAATATTAGCATATTTTATTTCATGTAGCTTGTGGTAGTAAAAACTGGTGGTAATAAAATACTACCTTTTGAAATCAACAGGTCCTACAGCCTTTTATCCCAATCTAAACCATCTTCTCTTTCAAAGATTAATACTACAGCCACAGAATACATCTACACAGTTTGCACTTATAAGGCACAGCTCAGGTAATATGCTATAGTTGTGTTATCTTCAGCAGCCACATGATTAGATATTGAATATTTTCCTCACGTTAGCAATATACTTGTCATCTGCTGGTGGCTTCCTCTGGCTGCCAGGCTGCAAGAATTTTTTGATTGTTGGAATGTTGCTTATTCTTCCTTTAAAAGCCTGTAACAAGAAGCAAGAAAGCCAGTGAGAGCGAGGATATTATAATCCTTTATAGCTTAAAAATCAGATGACTTGGATTTTTTACTTCTCAGCCATACCTATTTAGCAGAGAAAGTTATTGGTACTTATAGCCTGCTCAACACTCTGCATTTTTAACTTTATATACATATATATATAAATTATATTAAACACCACAAAAGACAAGAAAAAAGGAACATAACAGATTCTGTAATTGTATATGATTTCTTCCAAATGTAACTTTGCTAGCCAAAGCAGAAGGACAGGAACTGCAGACGTAACAAGCTGTGGACCTCCCCTCCTGATGCTCACTGCTGTGCTTGAAGACATGGAAGCAGCAGTGACAGGCCTGAATTGATAAGAGTCGGTAGGATATTAGGTTGGATATTAGGAGGAGTTTCTTTACTGAAAGCATTGTGTGGTGCTAGAACAGGCTGTCCAGGGAAGCGATTGAGTCACCATCCCTGGAAGTTTTCAAGAGACATGTAGGTGCAGAACTTGGTAGCATGGTTTAGTGGTGCACTTCAGTACTAGGCTAAATGTTGGACTAGATAATCTTAGAGGTCTTTTCCACCTTAATAATTCTGTGATCTTACGGTAAGTGAATTCCTCCCAGCTGAGAACAACTGCGGGCTGCAGAGCTGGAGAAAGGTGAGCCCCCAGCAGCTCTGGGGGCAGCACTGTGAGTGTGTTACAGTCAGTGGTAGATCAGAGAGCTACCAGCAGTGTAGCACAATGCTTCAAAAAAACATCAATTAGCTTTCAGACCTGGGCCGTGAAATTTGCTTAGATACGTTCTGTGTTGATGAGATGAGATGAGATGATCACTAACCTGTAGCTGAGGGAATGCAGACAGGATATCTGGCTTACATTCTTCTACCATTAGAATAGCTTCCAGCAGATGGATGTCTGCCCAGCTAAATTTGTTGCCAACGAGATAATCGTGACCGTGGTCTTTTAAGGCCTACAAAACATGAACAAATAATAATAATAATAATAAGGATGCAATCATTTTAGCTAGATGTTTTATTACAGACAGATTTCTACAGAAATACACAGCACAGCAAATCCATACGAGGACTTATGAAGATAGAAAGTAGGTATTCTCATGACAAAAAATATGGAACCAGAACTCATGTTTCAGCGTATGTGGGCTTATCACTCACTCTAACCTGTCACCCCAGGTTGCTGTCCCACAAGAAAGACTCAAATCACAGAAGAGAAGCAGGACTGGAGTAATGGGAAGAGGTAGTTAAGACAGCTTAGCTGTAATGTATTTTGACAAAAATAATATAAAAAAGAAGAAACAGCCCCTAAATTCCCAGATGGTTCAACTGTCCCCACAGGAAGCAGCAGAATATTATTCAGCAATCAACCAGGGAAATCTCCAGAGCCTCAGATTTGGCAGCACAGCCTGAACTGCTGCTGCTACACCCTAACAATGAGCTATTTTCAAAACTATTGAATGCCCCAGTTCAAAATCTTAGAAAAAAACTATGAATGCCTGTGGAGTGGAGGAGTTGCTTGGTTGTTTTCAGCCAAATGTGAGACTTTGGGTTACAGTCTGAAGTAGGTCAGGAGCCAAGGAACGCAGCCTTTGCACCCTTCATCCTGTACTGAAGGATTCTCTTGGCAGCCTGCTGATGCCAGAACCACAGCCCTGCAAAGCTACTAGCAGCTGTAACACACAATTTGCAGCGAATGTTGCTGCACAGCAGTTCAAAGCAGTTACCAGCTCTCCAGCTTACCCTCCTCTTGAAGATTACCACCCTTGAAGCAGAAGAAAACACATCTGTGCCTACACTGCGCTGATGCTACACTCCACTAGGAAGCATGCACTGAGACTAGGGCACCAGCCTCTGTCCCCAGAGCCAATTCCTTCATTACTTTTAGCTACAGAGGTTTTACTGTCAGGACAGTGTGATGTATGGACTGCAAAGCCTGCCAAATCAACGAATCAATGTACTACTTAAGCAGCCTGTACAGAAGTAAAGTAATTAATCATTCTGATGAAATTAGCTAGGTTAAAAATCATGCAAAGTTTAGCTGTGTCTAACACCAGTTAATAAGGACCATTTTAAAGACTTTCCCCCACTAGGCACACACACTAGATATACCATAACAATTGCCAGTGGCAAGTAGGCACAGGCTTGGAGAATAATGTAATGTAATATTGCCTTTTTTTTTTTTTTAGTAATTTTTCTTTATGTTACCAGACCTCAAATCTTTGAAAGATTGCTGTGTGCGATCAGTCTCTCCCAGCACAGCATCCCACAGGTATGGAAATGCAGCTGTGTGATTACAGGAGCGCTGGCTTACGTAGTTGATGTGCAGTCTCATCACAGGGCAGCCTCTGTGGGTTTTGCGTGCACAACCTAAGGCTATGATAAAGACACACACAAAACTGCACCAAGTCCTGTTTTTCTGTTTGTTTGTTTTGAATGGTACATGAAGTAACAGACAATGTGGTTTGTTCCCTGTGACACAAATTAGAAATTTCCCAAATAGATGCCAGATGTTTTCATGCAGGAGCAAAGACATTAGAAAAAGTGCATATTTCTGTATTCCAGAAAGTTGTATAAACAACCCTCCAAAATAATTCTGATTTCCCAGAGCTAGCTCTTAGTAGCAGATCCCATGACGAATTTGCTCTTGAAACCCCCATCTATCCCTGATCTCCTCTATAGCCTCTCCCCATATTCCTCCTAGGAAATGAGGGATTGAGCCAGGCACCCACCCCAGCTCTGAACCAATGCAGCTGTGTACCCTTGGCACAGACTTGGAGGAAACCACTACAGTGAGAAAGGGCTGTGAGAAGGTCTGCACAGCACCGTCGTGTAGGGTGCAAACAGGAGCAGGAAAGTGAGACAGGAATCATCGCTAGCTGAATTCAAAAAGGTAAAATGTTAATAAACACACACACAAAAATAAGAGGGAAAAACAAAACACAAAACAAACAGCAAGTTGGTAGGAAATGGCAACACCAAGGCTATGTTCCGGGGAGCAGCGGAGAATTCTTCCCCTCCTGACCAACTCTTGCATAGCCAAGAGGAGCTCTTCATGTGCTTCACGAGTGCAGTAAGCATACTAATGCTTTACCTCGTGGCTCATCAGAGGCCACCTCCTTAGTGCGTGTCAGCCAGTAGGTAATTGCTTTAATGCTTTTAAGCTAGATGCATCCTGTTTGCAGAACCTATTTGTTGCATGCCTAAGGATGCCCTAAAAGCAATTTAGAAAAGGACAATAATAATCTTTAGGTGAATTCTACGAAAGCAATGGGTTTGAGAAAGATCACAGAATTAGGTCACTAATTATAATGCACAGTTAGATTTAACTTTCAACAGCAAGAGTGTGTACACTTTTAGAAAGCAAGTTCTGAAGGCTGGCACAGGTATTTAAATGGGATATTTGTGCAAAATGCTGTAAGCTACCAGTTACTAAGCTAGGTGTAAATAATTGAAGTCCAGTCTTTCCTCATAACAAGTAGAATATGCCCTCTGAGGAGTCTTAAGGACAGCAAAGATGCTCAGTATTGAGATCAGCCCAGTATTATTTCGTGGCCTTCTTTTCCCATTCCTGAATGCAATTTCCACCACACAGACCCAGGTGATGTGTCTGTAGTGGGTTTACGTGGCAAGGCTTTGGTAGCAGGGGGCCATAGGGGTGGTTTCTGTGAGAAAGATCTAGAAGCCGCCCCATGTTTGGGAAGGGCCCCATTGTTTTCCAGATCTGAGCCAATAAGCGATGTTGTTTTGCGCCTCTGTGAGAGCATATTTAAGACAGGGAAAAAACTGCTGCGCCACACAGCAGCCGGGAGAGTCAAGGGAGTGAGAAACAGCCTTGCAGGTGCCAAGGTCAGTGTAGAAGGAGGGGGAGAGGTGCTCCAGGCGCCGGAGCAGAAGTCCCCTGTGGCCTGTGGTGAGGACCATGGTGAAGCAGGATGTCCCCCTGCAGCCCATGGAGTACCACGGTGGAGCAGGGTTTCACGCTGCAGCCCGTGGAGGAGACCACGGTGGAGCAGGTGGCCCTGCACCGACGGAGGCTGCCGCCTGTGGAAGACCCCTGCCGGAGCAGATTCCGGGCCGGACCTGTAGCCCGTGGAGAGGAGACCACGCAGGAGCAGGTGATCTGGCAGGAGCTGCTGCCCGTAGGGGAGCCAGGTTGGAGCAGTTTTCTCCTGAGGGATGGACCCCATGGTACGGACCCATATCTGGAGCAGTTCTGGAAGAGCTGCTGCCTGTGGGAAGCCCACGCCGGATCAGTTCGTCAAGGACTGCATCCCGTGGGTGGGACCCCACAGCACAGGGGACGAGAGTGACCGAGAAGGAGCGGCAGAGAAGAAGTGCTGTAGACTGACCATAACCCCCATTCCCCCGTTCCCCTGCGCCGCTGGGGGGGAGGAGGTGGAAGAGGGTGGATGGGGGGGAGGTGCTTTTGGTTTCTTTCCTTTGTTTCTCATTTCTCTAGCTTGTTAGTAATGAGTAATAAATCTTACTATCTGTCTTCTTATGCTGAGTCTGGTTTGCCCGTTACACTAATTATTGCGTGATTTTCTCGTCCTTATCTCAATCCTTGAGCCCCTTTCACATATTTTCTCCCCATTCCTCTTTGAGGAGGGGAGTGAGAGAGCGGCTGTGGTGGAGCTCGGCTGCCCACTCGAGCAGAACCACGACAGTCACAACCTGCCTTTAGAGTATATGGGGAGGCTGCTATGTGGACTCATGCTGATTCATCACTTACCTTTTCATAAACAGGAAAGTATCTGGTCTTAGATCGTTCAATGATTAAGGCAAGATTCTTTTCTCTCATCTCGGCTGACTGCAAAGGGAGCTGCATGATCATTCCCATCAGGTCTGTTGTTCCTTCCACATACATATCAATCCTGAAACATTTTAATTTAGCATTGATCATGTGAACATCCCATGTTGGTTATTTTTCTGAAATAACAATGCTGAATGGATCACTGAGTCTTATGCTTATTAGTGAATTCAGCGTAAGACACTGGTTCATTTTCTTGTTCTTCCATTTTGATTCCAGCTCAGGTTTCTTTCTTTCAAAGCACAGATCTTTATAAACAGACCCACAGTGTCTGCAACACAGTAAAAACTACAGTACAGCTGATGCAAAGTAGAGTTCACATTGTTTTCCACTGATATTCTATTTATCTATGCTGTGGGAGAAAAGAACACATATGCAAACCACTCTACAGGAAAAAAAGTTTTGAGGTCTGATCAGAAAAGGATTCAGACATCAAATGGCTGCCAATTGCCAGTTTGAATCACAGAAGGGTTTGGGTTGAAAGGGCCTTAAAGACTACCCAGTTCCAACCCCCCTGCCATGGGCAGAGACACCTCCCACCAGAGCAGGTTGCCCAAAGCCCCATCCAGCCTGGCCTTGAGCACCTCCAGGGATGGGGCATAAACAGGTTCTCTGTGGCCTGTGCCAGGGCCTCACCACCCTCATGGTGAACAGTTCTTTTCCTTATATCTAATCTAAACCTACCATCTTTTAGTTTAAAGCTATTACCCCTTATCCAGCCCTCTGATCATCCTCGTGGCCCTCCTCCAGACCACCTCGAATAGGTCCATGTCTTTCTTATGCTGGGGGCTCCAGAGCTGAACACAGTACTCCAGATGAGATATTACTGTCCATAATAACCATAATAACACTATCTCTGGAGCTGTCTCTCCATTTTTACCGAATAAACCTTTCACTATCAGTGGCAGTCAATTAGGTTAAGGACTTCATTCTCCATGATTTATTTATTTAAGAGTGATGACTTTTAGTTTTTCATTAGTTCTTTTGACAATGAAAAGTATCCACAGTTTACACGGTAAAGGAATATTATGAAACAAATGGTTCAACTTTCAGGGACATTAAGTCACTGAGCATTTCTTTATTATTGTTTTTAAAGCACTTCAGTTTCTCCAGGCAGCTGTAGTTTTCCCTACTGTTTTCCATCTAAAAAAAATAAACCCACAGAAAAGCAACCTTAGCCATTACAATTGCCTTACGGTCCTCCAGTTGCCCAGCAACTTAAACCACTTCTGCTCTGTGAGTTCAAATGAGCCTGAAAGCAGGCATAACTTTCTAATTATATTGACAACAAACAATCATTTCTCAATCACAGTCTGCTTACCCAGCCCCTGGATCTGAAGGGACTAAGTGCTAGCAGATTATTTGCATGTCTACATGCAGACATTTCAAAGCAATACTTTTTTCTTGTATGTTGAAAAAAAGTGGAAAAGTATGAGTGAAGATGGTGTGTACTGTTACCATACCAGGCTCTCTCCTTCAGGTCCTTCCCATAGAGGTTGTATTTCCCTGCTATATAGCTGAGGATGGCTCTGGTCTGCACCATCTTCATCCCATCGATCTCCACCATGGGCACTTGCTGGAACAGCAGGTCTCCATCTGGAGAACAAAAGAAGCAAACTTCTCATGCAGCTGTAGTACTATGTTAATTCTGAGAAAGATTATCTGTAGCATACCAAGACATTTCTAATGCTGAGCGATCTAAAGCTTCTGCAATGCAACCAGGTCTCTCCAATCTCTATATAGGTCACGTCGCACTGGAGATCTTACCAAAATCTCACCTCAGGCTAACAAAGTCAGAAGAAGTACTCCTTTTGTTATATTGGTGTGAGCTTACGTTTAGGGGACTGTTTACAGAGACTCACCTTTGCGTAGTTTTTCTAGGTGTTCATTTTTTTCTATGAATTGTTCCTCAAACTGAAAAGCAAAGACAGAAAACAACATTGTGTAACTCCAAAGACAATGGGAAAGTGGCAGAGTCTGGTAGCTGGACTCTGAAATTTTTATCAAGTTATGCCTCTCATACACAGTATTTACCCCTCTCTTTCCCTCTGCTGTTGTATATATGTTTTTGTTGTTGTTGTTGTTGTTGTTGTTTTGGTTTGGTTTGGTTTGGTTTGGTTTGGTTTTTACTTTTTAAATGAAGAGGACAATTCATTGAGGGCAAGATCTCTGTTTCCTCAGCACTCGTGATCTTCAGCTTCTCTGTCAGCAACACTCACAATGAATAAGCACCATTAAAAAAGACATTCATTTCCAATGGAATATAGAAAGTTTCTGAGAAAACAGTTTCAAACCACTACATTCAAACAAAAAAGTGAATGTAGAAATTAAGATGCCTTAGGACAGCTTTCAGCTGATGCAAATCTAAGATAGCCCTCCACTGGCTTCAGGGCAGCTTTGCTGATTTATCCGAGTCAGGTCCTGACCAACAAAAGAAAACCACTTTGTTTGGAGATTGCACTAAGTTCTTCATGTGGTATGCATGATCTTTCAGTGGAGACCAATCATAAGACATGGGGAATTCAGAATTTGCATTCAGAAAACCTTATAAACAGTATAAGCAGTGATTTAAGATCTTGATGGCATAAAGTATGTTTCAAAAATGAATAAGTTATTATTTTTGTATATTAAAATCAAAGAATATCTTAAATAATAAGAGAGTATGTCACTGAATCTAAGCATTCTGTATCACAATGTGATGTTGTGCGTATCTCTAAGCAGAGATGTACATTGAAAATCTTTCCAAAACAGAATCCATATTTTAATCACAGATTAATCGGATCACTTTATTAAAATAATAAATGTTTAAAAAAGGTACAAACCTCAACCCCTGCTGCTGCTAACAGCCATCGGATTGACTCCATTTTCCCCCTTCCACAGGTATAGTGCAGCTTAGGTTTCCCCGCCATGATTTCAGAGTTGTTCTTTCTGACAAATTCAATAAGATATATGAAACTGTTTATTTTTTAATTATTATTTTTATTTGTATATAAAACGATCCATTCCAAATGACTAAATACAGTTGGATGAATGTGAAACTAGAAGGGTAATCAAGACCTAGATATTCAGCCTTGATGCAACCAAGGTTCCCGTGGATTTAGTGGAAGAAAAAAACATTAGGGCACATTACCAGGAGAACATGCAGCGATTCAACATGGAATTGTGACAGAATAACCTCACAGTGATACAATCTATTCAGTAGGTGTTGGGTTTTGTGACAGCATCCAAGTCATATCAGACTAGAAAATGTACTATGTGAAACTGCTTGCAAGAACATCGAGTTTAGGATAGCCATTTACTTTTACCTCTCTCGTTATGAAGTTTCAGGCCTCTATGTTGCTGTGCCTTTACAAGCACGAGCTTTAACAGCAATATATATTCCACCAGGCCTGCTAATATCCATATTTAGCTAGTTGTTTTGACCATTAGCCAAATCACAATATATCCATTATAGGGCACATGGACTGACTTCAAGACCTGTTCCAATCTTATGGATAACAGTTAAACTCAAACAGGGATGTAAATCCTGCTGGCTCTGAAAACTTAAAATTAAGGCTGAAACCAAACAAATGAGACCACGATCTCCATTGGATAGATAAAGCCTGATCAATGCTCCCAGCAGCAAGGCCACCAGATAATGGCATGGGGATTAAACATTGTTCTTCCAAAGTCTCAGTAACACCAGGTACACTCACATGCTGTAGTTTGTAACCTGGCAGCCAAGGGGAGCTTGTCTGGTGCAGAAAACAAAGTTATCACTGTACTCTTATCACCAGAAGATAAAAAACAGATTTGGTAATAGGACAAACTCACAGACTGATTAGCAGAGTGTTTCATCATTAAGCCAAGGTTTCATCTCTTTACAGGCATGTTCAATTACTCAAGTACAGACTTTACAGCACTCATCTGAGCCACAAAGTAGAAACCCTGGCCACAATACCAAAGCTGTCAATGAAAATGCACAAATGAACAGTATAACAGTGAGTGGGGAGACTGCATGTCAGGTCTTCTCCACTGAACTCCTTTGTGTTGGGGGGTACCTTCAACATGCCCTATAAGGAACAGCCATTGCTTTGCAAAACTGTGGCATCCCAGTCCAAAATATGCTCCTCAAAACCTCTGCTCAGCTTACACCCAGCCCTGGCAATACCTGTATTCACAGCAACCTCAGTCTCTTCCAGAAAAGTTCTCCTTTAACATAAAAATGTACTTGATAATGAAGACTTGTTTATGTCTTATGTTTAGTTTTCATCAGTCTACAGCTGCCAGATACCTAACTAATACCTGAACAGGAACAGAGTGCATAGACAAGGCATTTAGAGAAGTGCCTTATTACAACCACCTTCCCTACATGCCCTACACTACATTTCTAGTTCCCATAAGCACATGAGTTACACTACACCGCATGAAAAGCTCTCAAACTTTGGTACTTCAAAAATACTTAATTCCTTCATGCTCAGGGAGTATCAACTCCACTCCATCTGAGAGGAGAGCTGCACTTGGGCCCTTCACAGCCTGGACAAGCACTGGACAAGGACTCCCACCTCCAGCATTTGGAGTAAATGTGAGAAGTACACTGCAAGGACAGGCTTGCTTAAGCAGAAAGAACAAAGTTCCCTGAACCCAAAGCAGAGGAAGAGCTAGTAAAAAAAACATCCATCTTGCTTGCCAGTGTCAGCTCAGTGCCCCTCTCCAAAAAAATAAAAGAAAAGCTGAACAGCTGATGATATGTCATCGAGAAAAAGTCCTAGTATCGACATAAGCTGTACGTGCCCATCACATTTCCTTTCCAGGGCTAGCCAAGGGCTGAGTCTTTTGTGCAGGTGAGGAAAAGCTTAGTGCTTTATTGCACGGCTTTGGGGTTTAGGCTGAACACTTCCATGTGGTGGCAAAGTACTGCAGTGATTCTGTTACTGCACTGCAACAAGCATTCCTCTGAGAAGCAAATGAGTCACAAAACAGGAGCAAGGCTGGTAAATTATTTTTTGAATAATAATGGACTTGAAGAGAAATCCTTAACCTTCTAGATGTCCTAGTGCATGAGACCTACCTCAGGCTTCAGCTAGGCAGGTGTCAGAGTGACAGCTACCGCTGCAATCTCTGTTTTTGGTTTCTTTGTTGTTTGCTTTTAAATAAAGTTATTTTATCCCAAACAATTCAGGCACTGGCCTTCCAGTGTGAAGCAAATAAGCGAACTTTAGCATATGTTTGTAACCTGCCCGATCTTAAACTTTCTTCCTAGCTTGACGTGGCCCCCAGGCAGCTCCTCGCAAGGCCTGGCTCCTCGCACACCGCTCCTGCACAGCTCGACCTCCTAACGCTGTGCCCGACTCGCTCTGCAGGAGGTCAGAAGACCATAATTGCTTACCAGTGTGGGGTTTCTACTGGGCTCCAGGCCAAACGCTCAACATGGAGAAGTATTCCTCCCACCACCCAAGCTGGAAGAGACACTCGCAAGAGGCGAAAGGCAAATCACCCCTGGAGATTTTAAAACTTATCCATGAAGAGCAGCAGCTCTGTGCTCTCTGCCCACCCTAATGAGCAGCGGACCCCTCGACCCCGCCACGGCCTCTGCCTCTGACCCCAAACCGGGCTCACGTCCCCCCACCCTGGTCCCCCCAGCCCACTGCCACCCCTACCCTCTGCACCGAGCCTCCGCTGCACCGTCTGATCCCGATCCCTTTCCCGATCACTCTCCCAGTCCTGGGCCCGATCCTGAGCCCAATTCAGACCCCGCTGCTCCGCCCCTGCAGCCGAGGGGATGGGCTCCGGAGGAGGGTGGGACGCTTCTGCTGCAGGGGGGCAGAGGCTCTCCGTTACGCTTGTGCAGAAACCTGTGGTTTCAGGTGTCTGGTGTTTTACTTCGAAAGTCAGTAGGTGAGAGATAGCAGGAGTTTTATTGCCCGGAGGCTACTAATCTCAGGCTGGCAGTGCCAGAGCAATCGTTTTTTAGGGTGTTGGCAGCTGCATACCACAGGTTGATGTACAGAATGCCTGTTTATGTATTCAGCTTTCTTGCTAGCCTGGATTTCAGTGATTGCAATGCACAGTTCATAACCAAGTTTAATATGAATTAACATCAGTCAAAACAGAATTCCAAATGCCAAAGTCCTGGTAGCATAGGGACATGGTTTAGTGGGTGATATTGGTGGTAGGGGGATGGTTGGACCAGATGATCTTGGAAGTCTTTTCTAGCCTGTATGATTTTATGATTCTGACACCAGCCAGAGCCATCCTTCCTCTGTTGATAATAGTTTTTCAACTTCACAGCTGGCTACAAGCAATCATCTTTCCATCAAATGTGTGTGAAGTGCTCTTAGCTGCTACAGCAGGCTGTCTGTTAAAGGAGATGTTGGTGAAGCTACCATACAAGAGTTTGAAGAGCTAGTGACAAAACAGAAGTACGGTAGGACCGCTGATCCCAACGTACTCCAAGCCAAGGAATATTAAGTTCAGAAGAAAGCTGAATCCAAACATTTCATCTCCATCAAGCCAGAACCTGCAGGCTTCACTTGGCTTTTCCCAGGAAGGGCACATTGCCCACTGTGTGGGCTAAGCCCCCTTCCTATTCCAGCAACACTAGGGTTGCCAGAAGGAACAAGGGATCCCTTCAGTATATAAGTAGCAGCAAGAAGTCATTGAACAGACTTTTAAAAATGTAAATAGTGAGACTTTATTTCAGGTAATCTCTTAAGTATTTTAGACAATTTATTTCATACGGTGTAGCCCCTAGTTCAGTTAATGATTTTATTTCCTGGTGTGTTCTTGTAGATTCACTTCGAATGTGTCTGCAGTAGGCTGAAGAGTAATCGAAAAACTATTTTCATTAATTTTACTTTTCTATTATCAGCAAATACAGACAAAATGAAATAGGGTTTCTGTGGGTTTGGGTTGCTGCTCAATGGAAAATTTGCATCAGTCTTGGTATATCTTTTTCTTGGATGGGTTGTTTCCTCTGGCTGCCAGGCTGCAGGAATTTCTTTATGTTGGGGATATTGCTTGTTTTTGCTTTAAAACTCTACAAAACAAAAAGAAAACAGCACTATACTTAAGAATGATGGTAACTGTCAGACATTTAGATGCTACCCATGCTGTAAAAGTAACATCACAGGTTGATCCTGCAGATTATAGTAAAGGATTATAGTAAATGTGGTTACATGGGGCTGGTGGCCAATCACCAGTGGGGTTCCCCTGGGCTTCGTTTTAGGCCCATTTCAACATTTTTTATAAATCATCAGGACGCAGGACTCAAATGCATACTAACTATTGCTAATGATAGCAAATTAGGGAGAGCTGTTGACTTCCTCAGTGGTGGAAGTGGTTTTCTATGATTATAAGAATATATGCTTCATCGTATTATCCCTTTAGTGCCCTGGTGGCTCTAGTGACAGAAGGCTGCAATAACTATCAGTATTTCTGGTTGGCTAAAATTACTTGTTAAAAATAACATAAAAATCAGATAACCCTTCTTTGCTTACCCTCCCGCTCCCCCACAATTCTCAGCCAGTTTAAATCAATGGTTCTGCTTTGATTTATCATTAAAACTGTCTAATTACCTGCAAGAGAGGAAATTTGGCAAGTATATCAGGCTTGGACTCTTCTACCAATAAAATAATTTCAAGTAACTGCACATCTGCTCTGCTAAGCTTGTTGCCAACAAGAAAGTCTTGTCCGTGGCCTTTCAAAACCTAAAAACAAGGAACAATGACCAGAAACAGATGTAATTTGTAAGTGTATGATTAAATATATCTTCATAGTAAGGTCCTACACTGCGTGGAGTTATCCTTGAAGCAAGGAAGCACAATAAGAACATCCGTAGTACAAACAGATAATTTGACCACGGTGTCATCCTAGGCATTATACATCAGTCCTTTCTCTTCTTCATTTTTTTTCTGACAGTTCAGGTCTACCCCTCTTGCCTTCACTTCTATAGCTCTTGTAATTAGAGCTGCTGCATTGAAGGCTAAGCTTCATGGAAAACAGCCATCACTGCACAGTATTTGCAAGTTGCTCGAATTCAGCACAGGGCACAGTAAGAGAATCTTGGACTTTTTCAAATTATGGGTAGCTTCCTTACTTCTCACCTGTTTCTGCTTTGATTTTGTGAATATTGCACTGGGGGTTACTGTGCCTCAGCTCTCCAACACCCACAGCTTAGCCATCCTCCTTTTTTACTGAAGGACCTCTAATGCTTGTTCTGTATGTGTGGTGCAGTGCTTCTCATGGTCAGAGGGTCTTGTACTTCAGAAGGAAATTTCATATAAAAGCCAATGCTATCAGGGCTTTTGTCGGCAACAACTGATATAGACAGCTGGGGATTTCACTGTGTCCTGGGCTGCTGCAGCTCTGCGTATCTCCCAGATTTGTAACATCTTCTGTCCCCTCTGTGGAGTCTTGTCCTACTCCCAGCAAAACCATGGAATTTATATTTAAGTGGTAATTTGTCCTTTCTGTTTTCCTGAATAAAAATTGTTTGTGTAGATCAGGGACAGAGTTTCAAGAAAATAGTATTAATTATGCTGTTACATCTTTGCCACATACCTTCTCATAGACCGGGAAGTATCTGGTTGCAGCCTTGTCCATAACAGTCGCGAGATGTTCTTCCTTTTTATCCGCTGGTTGGAAGAAATTGCTCGAGATTAACTCATTCAGATCTGCTAATCCTTCCACATACATATCAATTCTGGAAAGGAATAAATACAGTTGGTCAATTCAAACACAGGAGAGGTCTGAGTAGCACAAAAGGAACTGACATAACTGCAAAACTATAGGGCTGTGCTTCTTAATTTTTCACCAGGGATGATACTTCACTACATTAACTTTTTTCAAACCACTCAATACAGAATTGGCATATGTGTTATCTAAACCCATGTTAAAAATCAAAGCAGATGTTCTTTTAAACAGCGAGTCTGTACAGTTTCTAACAATTATCTTGAAATGTGTTTACCTGGGCTGATCAACTTGAAACATTTACAAATATTTGAGGTAAAAACATGGCTCCCCTATAGTCCTGACAGTTATTTTTCTGATGACCTCTGTTCTTTTCATTGACCTCTGATTGATTTCTGGTCTTTTCATTGACCTCTGTTCTTCACAAACTCCCTTGCACCATTCTGCCTATCTTATCTGTATGGTTACTGTTACTGTAGTCATCACCAACAGTCACATTCAACACATGCTACATGAAAACCTGCGGAATGTCCCTGAGTCTAAATGTGACCGGGGATATTCTAGTGTTACACAGAGAGGTAGCATGGGCTGCAGTCTGACAAACAAAGGTAGTACTGGTACATTACAGTGCTCTCTCCTTCAGGTCTTTCCCGTAGAGATTGTATTTCCCTGCAATGTAGTTGAGGATGGCCCTGGTCTGCACCATCTTCATCCCATCGATCTCCACCATGGGCACTTGCTGGAACAGAAGGTCTCCATCTGGGGAAAAGGGGACGAGACAAGGAGATATTTAGTCTCTGAATGAGCACCATCAGTAGATATGTTGGGAAGGAACCAGCCCATGTTATTTTTGATTTGTGGTACTCCTTCTCACTCTCATGGTGTGGAAGTAGCTTCCAATGAAGCCAAGAACCATTAGTGAAATGTTAATAACTGACTATTATAGCAGTCAGCTTCCTGAAGTCTATTCACCTCTGATGAAGGACCCAAATGCAGAACTTTCAGTAGCCGGTGAAAAAGTCAAGTCCCACACTGCATGGCCCTAACTCATATTTTTATTATTATTTATTTATTTTTGTGGTTAATACAGATAGGAAGGACTAAAGGATCTGACCCACAATGAGCCAGTTTTTGTTATGTGCTATTAAGTATTTTGGAAACCTGGACTATTTAAGGGTTTGTCAAGGTATAACATTAATATGCATGCTAATATTTATCTTTGTGACTACTATATTGACTTTATACGGATAGAAACACCTATACAGGCCTGAAGCAGGGAATAATGAATGGAGTTTCATATGGTTCCAACAAAAGCCAAATACTTCTTGATGTGAGATTGTAGCTGTGTAAGTCCCTTACTAGTCGGCAGAAAGCTCTTTCTAGGAAGGAAGAAGTCAAAATACTGCCAGAAACTGCTCATAGCAGCATGTCAGAGTATTTGTTTCATGGAATCACATTTCCTGACTCAGCTAACTGACCAGCCGTGTCCTTCTTTGTATCCACTGCAAGGCAGGCATGCACAGAAACAGCTTGCTATTAAAGTTATCTTCTTTTATGCTCATGCCTCAAAATACTGCTGTGCTTTTTGAAAGCTAGCAGGTGGCAGAGGGGGGAATAAATTCATTGTTCCTGAAGGACAGTGGGGCTGCAACTGCCAACCCAAGCTCAGATTTCTTTGAAAAGCCGAGTGGACTGGATTGGATGAGCACAGACATGTCTTTTCCTTTGGAGGAAATATGAGAATCAGTCCCACAAAGATGAAAGCTAAAGATAGCAAGTTGAACAGTTGCCTCAGGAAACAGGAACACGTCAGAAGTACATGTTAAACTCAGAAATACGGAACTCTGGTTTCATACAGATTATAAAACAACAGCTTTGTAGGCAACCTAAAATGCTTTTGAATTTCAAGATGATCTGATTACAAAACATGTATTATCATATGGCAAGAGACAGTGGGTACAAACTGAAACACGGGAGCGCCCACATGAACATCTTTACTGTGCACATCTTTACTGTGCAGGTGACTGAGCACTGGCACAGGCTGTCCAGAGAGGCTGTGGAGTCTCCTCCTTGGAGATCTTCAAAAGCCTCCTGCACATGGGCCAGGCTCCAGAGGAGATGCTCACTGCAGTGGGCATCTGTGATACCACCTGTTCAATCCAGTCTACATTATCCTTTGAAGAGACATAAGTTTCCTTAGGTGTCCTAAGACAAAAAATTCTAATTATTATTATCTAATTAAACAGTGAAGGAAACTTACTTGTCTGCAACTTTTTCAGGTCATCCTTTGTTTCCAGAAAGGCTTCTTCAAACTTCAGGGAATAAAGAAGAAAAGTTATGTTGTTACTGCATGTTTTAAGTTCTGCTTGTCAAGAGACAATGAGGGTTAAAAAAGCTGCGCTGTTGGGAATTTTCTTTAAAAAAAAAAAAAACAAAAACTTTTTTTCTTAAAAAAAAAATGTATTTTTTCCTTAAAAAGTAAATCAGGTTTAAAAATATATGTTTTGCTTTTGCCTTACTCTCCTCATCCTTCTTCTCCATGTTTCATAGTTCTGTGCATGTAAGATTTTGGCTAACCCTGGGGTGACCAGAAGGCACAAAGCCCTGTCTTCTGAGCAAACCACCACCATGACTCTTCTGTTCTCGGTGCTGGCAAGAGACATTGCAGGGAGGGGGACAGGTAAATTTGCACTGCAACAGTAGAGCCATGTTAGAGTTCCTTTACCATAAGCTGACCAAAGGAGGGATGAAGAGACCATGTGCTCTATGCATCTCATCGCAGTGATGAAAAAAACACAGCTCTTAAAACTCACAGATCCCCACACTCCCTCTCCATTTTGATATCAGAAATCATTACAGATACAAATAATTAATGGGTGTTTTATAATACACAGTACTTCAGGGGCAAACAATGTTGTAATAGTCATAATATATATGCTGTTTTGGACACGGGGATTTAACTTGAGGCCTTCAGAAGTCAAAGTGCTTGACTGATCAGTGCTTAGGAAACCAAGTTCTGCTGCTGTGGTTTTAAATGTTTTGTTTCAGTGGCTACATGGGAGATGCATTTATAGTGTTAAAAGCAGACTTGGCACAAGATGCCTGGAAGTGAAACAGCAACTTGTCCCCTGCTAAGGGTGTGCTAGTGGTCATTGTTTGCTTGGTCACTGCTGTGCACTAAGTGCAGAACTTGAAACTGCTGCTCAGTCCCATTTTTGATCATTAAAAATGCATATTTACCACATGCTTTTAGTATAAAAAGTATAAAAACTATAGACAAACCTCAACTCCGGCGGCTGCCAGTAGCCACCGTATGGGTTCCATTCGGCCACGTGCATTGACATAGTGCAGCCTTGGTTTCCCAGACATGTTTCCACGTGTCTGATTTCCTACTACCTACAATAAAGAAGTAAGAACTAAAATGAAGAAGGTTCAGAATGCTGTCCTTGAGTCTCTAACTGGTTCTCAAGCACTGGTCAAAATTGTTGTTAGAAACCAATGCTTGATGATCCAGGTCTGTCATCAAATCAGCAGAGGAGATAAAAGTTAGAATACACTGAGAGGTTGCACTGCATCATTTTGCCTTGAGATGTTTTTTATATGTGCAGGTTAGTGGAAAAGAACTGTGAACCAAGAGTGACCAGACCATGTCAGAGACCATGCAAGTCAAAGACCACATCCAGCCCAAAGTCTTTTGTTCTGACCAAAGAGCAGGGAGTGTGATATGCACTGCTCTATTTGTTTTGGCCTTAGTTCAGGATACAGTTTACTATTTAGTCAGGCAGACAATATCAGGTGAATGATTGCCATAGTTTCTCCAGTAGCCATTAGGCTCCCCTATAAAGTGGCAAGAAGGCTTTTTCCCCCACATGTATGCATTCAGTTTCATTCACAACAGTCCCCACTCCTCTCATTTCTTTAGGCAATTGCCTGAAGGCATGGAATTTAATTTTTAATTTGGTAACATCAAACTGGCTGTCACTACAGACAGAGACAGAGTAAAATATCTGCTCAGTTCAACCCCAGCTCTTGCAGGAGCTTCAAGCAACAACTGTCCCCAGACACACGGCATCTACCCCATTCAGAACCAGTGCACAGCAAATGCAGTGAACCTGCAGGCAGTGCCCAGTTCATACTCACATCGTGTTTATTAACGCCATGTCAACAACAAAGCTGGAGCGTTAACAGCAGCAAAAAGCAAATGGGTACAACAAAACATATCCCCCTTGTAAGGAGTGTGCCATCTTCCCTAAAATAGGAAGCACTTCATTCACACATCTGAAATCTAAATTGCTCTTTCTTAAGTCTGTATACCTAGAAAGCAGTTGATTAATAATTAAATATCTGATGCACATAACCAAGTTAGTAAAGCACATTCAGGACTTTAATCCACAAGATCAATTCACTGACTTTCGTGTCAAGTGCACTAATTCCCCATGCATGCCAAAATCCCAAAAGCTTACCTTGTACGGAGTATATCCCTCTCTAAGCTCTCAGTAGCTTTGCCGTGTGATTATAAAGGTTTTAGCCCCTCCTACCAAGAGAATTACAGACACTTCTCTGCTGTTGGGAAATTCCTATTTCTCAAGCTAATTAAAACAACTAAGTCTAATCACTTCTCATCTAAAGGAAATAAATTCCTGACTCACGCTGATGGTGCACTAATGTAAGACTCACGAGAGGTCATGATTGTTTGGGAGAATTATGGTGACAGAAATTGTGTGCTTCCTAATTTCATTGTTTGACAGTCTGCTACCTAAAAATAATCAGAGCTGCCAATAAGCTTCCAAGATTTAAAAAGATGCTGTGATAGCAATCAAAATTTTATTTAAATTCTTTATGATTTTGTACATCTTTATGCATGTTGTATTGGGTAATTCTGCTTAAATCCTTCATAACTTTCCTTCTCTTCCTTTAGTGATGGGGGATATTTCTTCAGGACATTTTTTTTCTGATGAATTTCATGCCTGGACATAGAAGTGTTCTTTTTTCTGTTTCTGTCAAAGATATTTCTCTGGATTTGATCTAGTGAAAAAAGGACATAGCTGGTGACTGATGAGGCAGCAAACAGAGGTTGGCGTCAGAAGAGTAACCTGCTGTTTCTTTTTGAGAACTCTGTTGACTCCAAAGAGTCAACACAGCATGAACTCCTTTGCCCTGTCCTGCTGTCTAATCTATCTGGCTAATACTACTATAGGTATCACATGCAAGCTGTCGTGCTATGTGAAAATCTGCTGAATCACCCTGAGTCTGACTGCGAGCCCGGATATTCTTCTTGTGTTACACAGAGAGGGTTATAACTGTAGTCAAACAAAGAAAACCTGCTCTGGTGAGGCCAGATGCTGGCCCTGCAGGGTGTCCTGCAGCTCTGACCATGCCTCAGAGGGCCCCAGATGACAGCAGTGGAAGTCCACCACAAGTCACCCACATTTTGCTCGTAATTTGTTCCTGTTTTGTAATGAAACAGAACTCTGCATAAGAATATTTTGCTTGAGAAATTACCGCTTTCCCTTCTAGGCTTCTGAAAGTGCTGACACTTGCTTTTAGCTTTTTATTTTTTTTACATGCTAAGCGGTGTGTCTCCAGCATTGTTGGACAAATATGACTTATCACCCAGAACCTGGGATAATGCAGGAGATTGAAGGTTTCTCTGCGCAGACCTGTGCACTGAGGTGTGGCTGGTGAAGTCTGCACACGTGCCAACTCAGTCTTAGGTAGAGTGCTGCCCATACTTTTGCAAACCTGGCTTTGACAAAGCCCAGAACTGTAGGAAATATCCCAGCAGGTCTAGTGACTACTCCTACATGGCTTTAAACCCACTGCATTAAAAGAATGCAAGGTAAGAAAACATGAATTTGAGCATCAAAGTTAATCACAGTGTAGACAACTGGGGTAAAACTCATCTCACCTAGCCTTGTACACACTTACATCTAGTCCATCTATCTAGCCTCCTTTAAATTTGTCTGCATCCAGGTAGGAGGTGTCCCTCACCAAGCACTTGAGCCACAGCTGGTATCCAAGCCAAAGCCAGCAGTATGCACTCAAAAGGTAGATGGATTTCTATCTTGCATGCCTGAAGGCATCTAATCTTCTGGGTTCAGATTGATGACCCAGGAGTTAAGGCTAGGGGAAACCTCAGATATACCCCGATAATTTAGGAGTCAACATTCACCACAGCTGCTGCTGCTGGCCATCAGCAGCTCCCATTTGGTGTCTTCTTTTAAAATAATGAGGCATAAATAAATATATATAATTATTTTTTTTTAATTTATTTTTTTTTTTCAGACATGATACTGATTTCACAGAATCACAGAATCACAGACTTGTCTATGTTGGAAGAGACATCTAAGATCACCTAGTCCAACCTCTGACCCTAACACTAACAAGTCCTCCACTAAACCATGTCACTGAGCTCTACATCTAAACATCTTTTAACAACCTCCAGGGATGGTGACTCAGCCACTTCCCTGGGCAGCCCATTCCAACACCTAACAACCCTTTCACTAAAGAAGTTTTTCCTAATATCCAACCTAAAAATTTCCTGACAAAGCATAGAAATATTTTGTTATCAAGCTTTGTGGATTTTCTTCTCTACATAAAACATGTCAGAATTACATTAGTTTGAGTTGGAGCTATGTTTAAAATTATGAGCCAATATGTAAAATGTAAGGGAGATAGATGCACACACAAACTGTTGTGTCTTACTGAATTAACAGGGGAAAGAGGGCTTGTAGAGAAGGGAGCCTCAGCTGGGACTAATAAGACCTGCAGAGATATGCCCAGCCCTGCCTTGCTGCGAATATAAAGGGCAGCTCTGGAGTTTCATATGATTTAAAACACTTGATTGTTGTTTTTCCAAACCAGTGCTGCATGTGTTTGGCGCACTTCATCGTGTCCCATAAAACATTTCTCCACGCTGAGTTACGCACACTGAACCAGGCTGGACAGGTACACAACCAGCCTATCTTATAAACCTAGGGACATGTTGTTTACAAAAGATAGCATTGCCATTATCTGCAAGATATCCCCGGGGTATTACCTGCTCACCGTTGCTTTTATAGCGCTCTCTGCACGTTAACAGCACACTAAGCTCCTGGGAAGCACATCCGCTGCTTTGAGATTTTCTTCAAGTTCCCTCTAGCTTGCTCCCTTTCTCTCTCCTGCTTAGTTTGCAGCCTTTAGCTTGTGTCTTCTTGGCAATTTCCAAGCTGTCCTCCTCATCTAGAATTTTTTCTTATTTTCCCCTTCACACTTCCAACCTCTGCACCTTTCTCCTCAGGGGATGTGGTTCTCCCCCCATGAAAAGAGAATTTAAAAAGAGAAAGTAGCATGTCATTAATAACCAGGCAATTTTTGGATTTCCAGAAATTTAGTACCTGAAAACCCTCTCCTTAGCAACATCTTTCCTCATATCTTCTCAGCTTTCCTCCAGACATCACAGAAGGGATCCTAATATTTATAGAAACTCAAGGCTTTCTCAGAACAGTGCTGGTAATGATGCTGAAATCAAGGGTGAGGAGATTAATTTCCTTTACAACTATTCCTCCAAGCAGTAACACAGTACAAAACATCAGAGCTCTGCTCCCAGATCTCTCATGGCCGAAGGTGAACCATGTCACTGTGTGCCCTACAGGTCCCCACTATCCCAGAGGGAGAGATGTCACCCACCTAGCTGCTAGCTCTTCCCTCAGGAGTCAGAAGTATAACAGTGAAGAACTGATAGGAAATACCAGTTCTGTTTTGAAACCCAAAGTGGGCATGGAGAAAAAGACTTCTGCACCAGGTACAGCAACTCTGCATTTGTCTGCCTGTTCCTGACAGTGTCCCCAGCCCCCTGCTCTGTGGAGCCCATAATGTCCTTATGGCTCCTTGAACTGCTTGTGCCCTCTGCCCCACACTACTTTAAACCAACTCATGGCCTGTACCAGCCAGCTCACCTCTGTGGAATATGTGATTTTATTTACAGGTGCACATCTCTTACAGAATTAAGCTGCAAATAAGGTGTGTTAAGAGTTTTTCCTGCACAATTATTTTCAGAAAATTCACTCTCTTGCTTAACTTACCTATAGGCTCGACAGCACTAAGGGACGTGCTTTATTATAATTATGATTTTAAATCCTTCTTACAATAGTCATAAAATTTTACAGGATGGCCCCACCTTACACACACACGTGAATAACTCACATAAGGGCATATTCTACTTGACTTCTCTTTATGCCTACAGGTGCACTTGAGTGCACAATTTGCTAGCACTGACTGAGATATAACTTTAATTAGGTACAGCCTTGGCCTCAGATGAAGAAGTACTGAAAAAAAAAACACAAGAGTTTTGGTGTTTGCAGGTCATAGCCCCAGGCTATAGAATTGTACTAGACATATCAGTAAAAGATAAGTTGCCTCTGACAAAATGCAGAGCATATTCTGTTAAAAACCCCACTTCATCTTGCTGCACCCTCACAGAAGCGATGGTCCTTCTGTTCTACTGCTAACGCGAAGAGGAGCTGATGGGGAGCAGCAGGTGAGTGGAAACAGATTTTTATTACTCCAGCAGCACAGAGAAGTGCATGCTTAATTCAACAACTGATTTTAGCTGTGATTCTGTTACCGCTGATGCTTGCAGGATACTACAATGCTTGCAGGAGACAAAAATGTTGAGTTGCCTGTCTCTGCTGAGGAAGAGACCACAGCTACACACAGTGGCACCACTCTGAAGGGAGTGTGTAGTTTCTGCTAGCTGGGGGAGCATGGAGGGAACATAAACCATCTGCAAACAAAGTCCATTCTTGTTTTCTGTCATATCATTTTCCAAATATTTTGTAATTTTCTTTCTTTTTACACTTTTGTTGTGGTGATATTAAACATCAGCTTTTGCTACTGAATATTTTATTCTATAATTTTCATTTTCAATTTTTAATTTTCCATTTTAAGACTCATTTCTGAGAGGTGTTATATTAGTTCTGTGGGGCCGATAAGTTTGCTGGGGCTAAAAGTTGGCCAAGGCCACTGCATCGGAGACCGGCACGAGCTGCCACAGGGCTGCAAGCTGGGCACATCCACTGGAGATTCCCTCTGTGGAGGTGCTGCCCTGCCACATCAGGCCCCACCTCACAGCAGGTTTTTTTCAGCTGTGAGTGTTTGTAAGCCCAGGTGCTTTTGTTTTAGGTTGGAGTTCACCGGGGAGGAGGTCTCTGGGCACAGGCCCAAGTGCAGTAGCTTTATTGTAGGTACAATAAAAGTCATTGGTTAGTGATGGGACTTGATAGGTCACATGTTGATGTTGGACTTCATGATCTTGAAGGTCTTTTCCAATCTAGATGACTCTATGATTGTATGCCTGGTGGCGTGAAGTGGCAATGTGCACCACAGCACCTCAGCCACACAGGTGCACCCCTGGCATTACTAACTACTAACAATTTCAGGTACCTTCCCTGTAAAATCCAGCCCTCTGAGCAGCCAGAAGGCTCCTCCAAGGCCTCCTGTGATTCCCATAGGGTTAGGTAGTCACCACCAGGTAGGACTACCAGTATTTTTGGAGCCAGGTGTCAATGCCAGCCCTATCTCACGACAGTTACCACTGTCTGGCCCTATAGTTCAGGATTTGGTGAAGCCATACATCTCTTCAGCCTAAGCCTCTGACCCTAATACCAGACCAGGGAATCTCTTGGGTGGGACATTCTTCACTGCTCACATTGGACCAAAGTCACATTCCAAGAAACCTTAAACAGTTTCTGAGGATAGAGATAACGAGCACAACTCACTAAATGATTAGTGAAATTACTTGTGAGAGGGGAGATTAATAATAAGCAAAATTTAGACAATGTTATTGCATTTTTAATGCACCTGAGTTGTCCTAGCCCTGAAACCTGCCTGCTCCCTGACCCCACTTCCCTCACTTCTTCCAAGCCTTGAATACTTGCTCATATATACCTGCACTTATCTCTGAGGTGCTTACAAGACTTGGCGGCAGTTGAATGCAGGGATAGATTTTAGGGTTAGGGGCTAAAATTGTTAAAGCATGACATGAAAAGAGCAGTTTGCAATTTCTGAGAGCCAAGAGGGGACACTCAAAGTAAGGGAGGGTCAATCTGAACTGCACCAGAACAGGCAGGTGCAGCACAGCTTCTGGAAGAGGAGAAGAAATTTTGACTTTGTTTGTGACAGTAAGTGGGATGGTGACAGGGCACAGGAAGTACTTAAGGAGCATACCACAGAGATTTGGCTTTGTTAATAGTAGATGAAACTAGTATTAATTTATAAGTCTCATTTACACAATGCTGTAAAAATAATTCAACATAAGGAGTCACCCAAATTGCTGTTGAAGCTAGTCTATTTTTTAAAGGATAAGTGATTCAGCAAATCTTCAGCTCTTTCTTCTTTTTAATAGTTCTTATTCTGAAGCCTATTTTCGTACCGAAAATATTTTATTTAACAAGTTACAGTCCATCAAACTAGCACCATATCAGCCTTTTTTTCCAAAGGAATAGACTTCCCTACCCTGGCAAATGGTCTTTGCTTCCATAGTACTTTGTTTTCATGTTTTGCCAAGCATTAGATACCAATAAAGACAAATCTGCTGTCACACTGTCAGAGTAATAAGAATGTCAGGTTTTATTTATTTATTTTTACCATTGGTAGTAAGTACAATACTATTTTACTGAGCTTTCTATTTCCTTTAAGGGTTTCGATTTTTGTTGTTGTTACCTTCAGCGAGGCCCGAAATACCAGGAAAAGCAACAAGGCATTCAGCTTAGATTAAAAATCGACATCACAAGTGCCACATAATTCTCATCTGGTGGGGGCTTCCTTGCGCTGCCAGGCTGCAGGAACTTCTTAATTGTAGGCACGTTGCTCATTTTTGTTTTAAAGGCCTAAAAAATAAAAGCAAGAGAGATAAATCCCAACTAATCCAGCAGCAAAGAGTGCTCCTTGCACAGGACACAGGACAACTACTTCCCCCTGCTGATAGAAGAGATCCTAGCAGTCATTTAGAGTGCAGATCTAAGCAGTCTCCTTTTGTCTAACAGGAGAAGGACCTGCAAAAAGCCTGCTCTTATCAGCAAAAGCAGTGTTGGAGCAGACAATATCTAAGAAACTCTGCTGCCTGAAAGAAACCAAAGGCAAAAACCTGGGGCATCAGGGATTAGTTTTAAAGGTCCATGTACTAACCAAGTTCATGTCCTTTTTCTTTTCATTGCTAGATATGATAACAACGTGATTTCCACATTTACCACATTACAGAGGTATCTGAGCTCTGTTTACATCTAGCATGGCCACTGTTGTCACACTGTCCCAGCCCTTCTGGGATCGCATGGGTGAAGGTGAAATAGCTGGAGGCATCCTTGGCTCATCTCATTTGTCCACTAGAGGCTCCTTGTACTACGTGTTGCACCTTAATGTAGACAAAGCTATACATGGAGCTGTGACACAGGCCTTTGGGGAGACCTGTTCCCTGATGGGGTAGTGTCTGGAGGCTACAACAGTGATTAAGGCAGACTGGGGCATCTGAGGTGACCTAGAGAGGCCTGTGTTAAGTCAAGCTTCCTGAGACCTCTTACTGTACAGACAGTCTGAGAAGACTGTCTGAAGGAGATTTTGGGTAGCTGGAGATCCCATCGTTAGCTGAGAAATCTTACATACACAAGAACCAACTCGAACAGTGGAGCTAAGGGAGAGGGGCTTCAGAGTAATAGCCATTTCTTGCTGGCAGATGTATGAACATAATTTCCTCTTCCTTGCAAGCACAGGAAAGATAAAGGGGAATGCAAGAAGCAAGAAAGTAAAACTTACTTTGTAAGTGAATATCAATTTTAGCAACTTTTCTCTACTGGCGGTGAAGGAATCCCTTACAACTAAGCCATGGCTTCAGCAGGACTGTGACCATGCCCGGTGGCTAAGATATTTTCCCAAAAGATGGGAGATAGAGGCCACAATTCCTGAAGCCCAAAAAACTACATACAGGTTGTAGTACGGCACATGTTGCTGCCTACTTTGTGGCTGAAGCACTTCATTCTGTCACACAAAATTCAGACTTAAACTATTAGGGTTGAGATTTGGGGAAAAAAATAAAATAAAATTCACCTTCTTTCCATTCCCCTCCTCCCTGTCCTGACACCTTTTCCTTATCAGTTCCAAGCAGAAAACCTAGCTGCTGTAGTCTGATGCTGCACTCTTTCTTTTGTTAAGGGGATTAAAGCCCAAGTCTTTGAGTGCATCCTTCAGGTTAACAGTTTCCAAGCACAAAGAAGAATGACCTCAACATCAGAATCGTCAACCCATATTTGCATTGCCTGATTGCCTGCACTGCTTTATTTACCAAGATTACAGGCACAAGGGTGAACTACTGAACAGTATTTGATTTTTCCAATCTCAGACTATTTGGCTCCACTCTATCTCAACTCTTTATGATTCCCACAGGTTTGCCCATTCACTGAGTTCTACAGCATGCTGCATATCTGGAAGCTTCTCATTTCTGGTCAAATCTCACAGCAAAAGTGTCTTACCTCTGCTTGGTTTCATACTTTGTATATGGCACAAAGCAGAGAATTAATTCTTGATGATATCGAGTTGATTTTTGAAAGAAAATGCTGGGTAATGCCAGGGCTTGAGTTCCTAGTCATAGTGTAGAAGTCAGAAGTGGTGAGGTTAATAGGATCCCAAGTTTGCAATTCCAGCTAGTACAGAAAAGTGACACACTGCACTGTACTCTAACATGTCGATCTATATCACAGCCTTAAGAGGTAACCCTTAACACGGTTAGGCAGGGGCACAGTGTCTTGCAATGACTCAGCTAAATCTGCTGTGTTCCATATTAAACAAACATAGCCAGGGATAGCCTGTTGGAGAGCCCACAGAATTGATTTACATAGAATGGAGAGATGATCACTTCAGGATTGTCCCAAAATTAAAGTTTTGAGGTCTTTGTACTGCACGGTTCCTGAATTCAGGCATGTTCAGTGACAAGATTACCTGCAGCTGAGGAAACCCAGAAAGCACAGCAGGTACTTTCTCCTCCACTGCTAAAATGGCTTCCAATAGCTGAACATCTGCCCAGCTGAGTCGGTTCCCCACAAGAAAGTCTTGGCCGTGTTGTTTCAAAATCTGTAGAATACAAGAGAAGATGGGTTGCAGATGAGAACTGGAGATATGATGCCTGGCAGCTAAGTCTCATGGCACAGCTGTAGAGCTGAACAGCAACTGTAACTGAATTTCAGTTTTTAGCTGGAAACCTGTGAGCCTAAGTCACTGCATCATTGTTGGAGAAAAATCTTATAGCATACAAATTACAAACTTGGGTCATTTGGTAATGACAAACGACAAAAGGTGTGGGAAAAATGGACAAAACCACAGACTCGAGTAGGCTATTAAGAGTCATAGCATTAAAAATAGGGATAATGGAGGAGTTAAAGAGTAACTCAGAAAACTTATAAAATGGCCATTTAGATATTTCATTTCAGTTATGTCCAATGTCCAGGAAGCAAACTTAAAAATGCAAAATTACAATAGCTAACCAAAGAGAATCTTTGCCTTTGGGAGCAAGTTATTATAGTCATAAGACCTACTAAGATGTTCAGCCTTTATTATTGTTTTCCATCAAAGCTAGATGAATGTTACAGAAGTGAAAAACGTTGCCAGATGCCTGAGTCAGAGTCATATGGGTTTGGTTTGTTGTCTCTGAAAGTGGGATGTGCAGAAATCTAGGACTGCTTTTTTTTTTTTTTTTTTTTTTTTAAACTAAAGGAGTCCTAATATCATGGTGTTTTTGTCTCTCTATCTGATTTATTTCCAAGGGATTTTTTCATTCTTCTAATGAAAGTGCTCCAAATAATATTAAGTACAACAGAGAGATGTGCTATGAAAAAATGTAAGAACAGAACTTTTATCTCAAGGAAAAAAAAATCATACATGCTTGCTTTTACTTCAGTGAAAATATTTGCTGTGTAAGCTGCAAACATTTTGCTTTCTTTGCTTTGTAACTGTTCAAATACTACAGCCCTGACGACACAAGATAAACAGAAAATTCACTGTAGCATTTTCCCTTCTTTGTGAGAGCCAGGAAAGCCAAGGGATCAGATCTAACCTGCATTACAAGTGTGTTCTTATTTTTGGGGAACTTTTTGATAATTGCAAGTACAAGATTTATACACACATCCTCACCATCACTTACCTTTTCAAAGACTGGGAAGTATCTCTTTGTTGCCTTCTCTTCAATTGAGGCAAGATTTTTTGGCTTTGCCTCAGCTGGAGCGAAAGGAAACATCATAATCATTTGCATCAGATCTGTTATTCCTTCCACATACATGTCGATCCTATCGGAGGAAGACAAGAGCATAGGAGTTATTTCATCTGCTTTCCAATTAACTAAGGCAACTTACAGGAATTGTGTATCACCACCATAGTGCCAATTTTCACAGCCAGTACAAATACAAACTAAAAGGACTAAAACCCTATTTCTGTTCAACAGGATTTCAGAAGCTTTGGGTAAAACTTAACAAAGGCTAGAGACCCTGTTCTTTGTTGTGTTAGCTTTTCTCACGCCTTTCTACTGGATTTACAGGATTACATCTGTTGTATGTAATGCAGCTATCAAATAACAAATTGCTCATTAAGTGAAAGGAATTGTTACAGTACAGGGCTCTCTCCTTCAGGTCCTTCCCATAGAGGTTGTATTTCCCCGCTATGTAGCAGAGGATGGCTCTGGTCTGCACCATCTTCATCCCATCAATCTCCACCATGGGCACTTGCTGGAACAGCAGGTCTCCACCTAGGGCAGAAAGGTGAGGGAAACCTCATTAGTTCCTCCTGGACTTCCAGCTTTACAGAAGAATGCATTTCCTCTGCAGTGTAAATCATTAATGCCTTGCCCTTACTCTAAAAAACCACACAGTAATTAAACATTGTGGGAAAGATCAAGCGCTGCTAATAGGCATCAGAGCTGTGTAGCTGGGTCATGGCAGTGCAGCTGGGCCCCTCGCTTTGCAGCTCTGCCAGAGCCTCGCTGGCTGATGGGAACTGGCAGCGCCTGCTCCTCTGCACTGCTGGACCCTGGCCCTGCTGGCAGGAAGAGACTCAGCCAGCAGTTGCAGCCCAAGGGATCAGAAGAGAATAAAGAGCTGTGTTAAATCTGAACTTAAAAAAAAATAAATAAAGAGTTCAATTATTTTGAATACAGATAAGTTTCCTGGCAGGACATAAAGACCTCCATCCCTCCTGCCCCTGCCCTGGTACTCCCCTTTTCTCCTGGTGCTGGAAGGAGTTTGGCTGGTCCTCCAGCGAGAGCTCAGCTGCCATAAAGGTTCAGCACAGCAAAGCCAGTCTTTCCTGACCAGTTTTCTGCTGGACTAATTCCTTGTCTTTGGAGATACTCCCTGCTCCATTTACTCGGTCAGGGCATCCAAAGAACAACCCTGCCTTGTTAAAATCAGATCAAAACTCCAAATTCGAGTAGGCAGCTGTCACTTTGTACTGCTGGAAGTTAATCATTGATTTTAATTGCTTGATCTTAATCTATTCATTGCACATTTCTTTATAGTAAAAGAATTTACTTCCATAGGCACTTTTGCCTACTTTCTTCTCCACAGAGCTACTAAAATGCTTTGCTAACCTCAAATAGATAAACTTTCTTCACTCATTCTATACTATTTGCAGTTTAAAGGTTCCCTCTATGGCAAGGAATAGCCTGTGTTTGTTTCTCAGAAACATTCACAAATGGATCATACATTATTGTATCCAGAACACACTTCTACAGACTGAGGAAAAAAGGCCCCCATCTAGTGCAACCACCATGGAACAGGAAAAACAGCAGCTAGGCAAGAGTACTTTTCAGCAGGAAGATGCACCAAGTGGATAATAAAATCTGACTTTCTGTCCTTTGACAAAAGGTGTGATGTAGCAAGTGTGAGAAAAGTGAACGCCCAGGTGTTTTTTTTTGTTTGTTTTTTGTTTTTTATCTACAGAAAGGAAGATTTATCTCTTATGACCAGCAGCAGACTGCTTCTCCTAACCTTGCAATGACGACCACTTCACATAAGCACAGCACAGAATATTTTTGCAGGACTTAAAGCAGTTTGCCAGTCATTTTGCTGATGGTATTGTGCTGTCTGTGAGCAATCAGAAAACAAACAAACAAACAAACAAACAATCATCTTGACCAATCTGTCACAGAACAGCAGTGTTTCTTGACATCGGGGTAGCAACTTGGGCAACCTGTGGCCAAGCAGGTTGAGCCAAGCTAGTTGCTGTCAGGGCAGTGGGTATGGGTCTGGCCAGGAGGATGCTCCTGACCTCTCAGCCTCCAAGGCAGCTCGATGGCTGCAGACTGCATGCTAGAAACAGCCTCCGAAATCTTCACAGTACTGGGAAACTGCTCAGACCATCAGCTGCCATGGGCCAAAGTTGCTCCTAGACCATTGTAACAGTGCGGTGGTGCCTGAGCACAGCATGCCCCAGGCAAAGGTGTATTGGCAGAAAAAGGCAAAAAAAAAGAGAGGGAGAGGCAGTGGAGGGTTATTCATGTTCAGACCTGCCTTGCACAGCTGGCAACATGCCAGCAGTCCTTTATCACGTTGACTAATATTTGTCTTTCTCCAGCTCATTGTACCAAAGCCCGCCTTTTCCTTTGTGTTCTCAGATTCTTAAGCTCAATATACATACATGTAGAGGCTCTTGATCTTCTTTATAGTATTTCCCTGTCCTTTTCATTGCCGCTTAATTCTCCTCTCTGGCTATGGATAAGCTTGCATACTATACACAGGATTATACCACCCCATCTGGATTAGGTATGCCTGAGAAGGAAATTCAGATTTGGGCTTTCACTACCTGAGATACCGTATTTAGACCTCTGTCTGTTGTCTGCACACTGCATGGCTCTCCCACATCACCAGATTCCCGGCCAGATGGACCTGCAGCTGTAATTCTGATCTTACTGACACCACTTTTGTTGGGTTGCTTTGTTCATTTTAGCTTTGCTCTCAGCTCTTCTTTAAACACAGCTTCCTCTTTCTGAGCAGGCAGCCAGAGCACAGCCAAGTCATTTTTCCAGGTGTCTTAGTACATCTGGGCAAGTTCAGCCTGATGCCTCTCTGGTGTGCTGGGAGGTTTCTGTAAAATGTTTTGGGCAGCAGGAAAACCATGGGACAGGGGCACTCTGTAGTGCCCCTCACAGTCCCCACTCCTTCCCCACCCAGGCAGCAAGGTCGTCTCCTTCCAGGGTGGCTGCAGGGGGTTTTGCTGTTGGGTTTCATCTGACCAAGTCTGAAGGGCAGTGGCAGGGGCTATGCACTGGTATTTGGGAACTGGTCTCCTTTCTGGCTTGCTGCTTTGACCACGTCAGATTTCCTGCAGGTCTTTCTTCTGTCTCCCTGTATCTTTTTATCTGGGGGAAGCTTCATGGCTCAGGTACATCCTGCTCAGCTGGCCTGATACCTTATTGCCATGTCAAGCCCCATCTTAGACATCCATGTTTCCTCCCTGTTGTTTGCACGAGGGTGTGCAATGTAAGGACTCTCACTGGTGTGTTCACACAGAATCTAGTACAAAAGAAAACTCTTCCCTAGGAATTTTGGTGCCATGCAAGCCTTTCACTCACTTTCCACCTCCCCAAGGTTCAGATCCTGCACAGGGTCGCATTGTTAACACTATTTTTACTAGTGAACTCTACAATACCTCAGGCCAGCTGGCGCAGAGCAGCCATACTCACTCATCAGCTCTCTCTGCCTACACAATACGCTAGTCACAGCTAAAGGACATCTTGGAGATGGGCCTGGCCAGGTCCCAGGAGCTGCCTCAGTACATGCTGTGTGCCCAGGACCCATGCTACATTCCAACAGAACAGATAACCAAGTTGTACATAGGAACATTTGCTGTCTGTGCTCAGTGTATTACTAAAAACACAGTCAAAGAAGCTGGGACTTCTAGCTTATAGGAGTTTTTTAGCACTGCAAAGAGCAGATTACACAAAACTAGCATTTCAGTGCACTAGGTGTGCACCTAGAGTTTTGCATTGGCTTACATGATGCAATTTTAAACCACAGATTTAGCTAAATTGGAGCAGTTTTTTTGACAGACAAACCCTCAGGTATCATATTCTTACCTTTGATTAACTTTTCTAACTGTTCTTTTGTTTCCACAAAGTTTTCTTCAAACTGGAAAAGAAGAGAGAAGAACATTACATGGCTGTACTTCAAAGTTTCTTTTGTGAGTGCATGTAACCATGAGCAGCACAACCCAACCAAGCCGGGCACGATGAGCTGGGTCTTCAGCTGCACATGCCCTGAGGATTCCCCACCCATTCCCTCAGTCAGGAGAAGTGGAAGGGCCTGGCCACTTCTGCCTGAGTGCACTGGTGCAGAAATAATCAAAGCACATGTAGAAACAGAGCACAGGCATCTACAGGAGGAATACAGGTTGCAGCCAGTGCCAAGGGAAGCACAGGGTAAAAACAGCCAACACCACCCCCAGAGCATGCAAGCCAACAACACCTTTTTTTTTGTTTTGTTTTTAATATACAACTGGAAAACTCAGATTCATTAAGGGTCTTTAAAAAATTCCCCAATTTTACCCGTTATGATTACTTTGACAGACTCTATAAAGCTGTAAGTTCTATGGAGTTTGCATCCCAAATACCAGCTACTGATCACAGTAGGTCCAAAACATGCAGTGCCACTGGCCAAATAACTTTTGCCACCCTCCTGCGGTCACTTACACTCTGCGTGCATGTTAAATTGTTCCATGCAGTGTCCAGTTGGAAACATCAGCCTGGAACAAGGTGCCAAGTGCCAACTAACCTCCACGCCGGCTGCTGCCAGCAGCCATCGGATCGGCTCCATTCGTCCCCTTCCATTAATGTAGGTGAGCCTGGGCTTCCCTGACATGCTGCTGAGCTTCTGGATCCCTGGAAAATATTAAGCTGAAAACAAATATCTCATTGTCCTGGTTTCAGTTAGAATTAATTTTCTTCCTAGTATCTGGTGGAATGCTGTGTTTTGGCTTGGGATGAGAAGAGTGCTGATAACACCCCGATGTTTTAATTGTTGCAGAGCAGTGCTTATACCAAGCCAAGGACATCTCAGCCTTTTGCTCTGTCCTGCCAACAGGCAGGCTGGGGGTGCAGCAAGAGCTGGGATGGGACAGACCCAGGACAGGTGACCCAAATTAGTCAAAGGGGTATTCCATACCATCTGACGTCATGCTAAACAATATATAGGGGTGGCTAGCCGGGGGGGGGGGCGAACTGCTCGGGGTTAGGCTGGGCATCAGTCAGCGGGTGGTGAGCAATTGCACTGTGCATCACTTGTTTGTACATATTATTATTAGTAGTACTATTATCACCATTGTATTATTACTATTATTATTTTATTATTATTGTTATTATTATTTTCCTGTCTTATTAAACTGTCTTTATCTCAACTCACGGGCTTCACTTTCCATTTCTCTCCCCCGTCCCAGAGAGGGAGGAGGAGGGTGAGCGAACGGCTGCGTGGTGTTTAGCTGCCGGCCGGGTTAAACCACGACACCCATAAAGCTGGTATAAGCACCATTATTTTAGGGGAAAAAGAAAAAAAAAAAGCCTTTTATTTTCACTATGCCTGCTGGAATTGCCCATCCTCTAATTTAAAATAAAAAATGAAAGATGCACCAGGGATGTGACACAGCCTATGCTAGGAAATCAAAGATGAACAGATTGGTAAAGTCTTTCCCAGTGCTGCTAGGAAGGATTTTTTTTTTTTTTAATGATGCAAACACAGACATGCTTAAACAAGTGCTATGGATCCTGAGCTACTGGGGAAAGCTTGCTTCATTACAAGACAGTTATACAACGTCACTGAAAATCCTGCCACATCCCCAGGGTAAGTTATTCAGTTACCCTCACTGCCATAGCTCCACTGAAAAGAAGCACAAGATGTTTTATTGCTAGGCTGGAATTTGTCTAGCTTTGTTTGCCAGATGTCAGAGAGCCTTACGAAGCTTCACCTGCCATCCACTTCTTTCTTGGTACAGGATCATTATGATCATAGTGATTAAATGAATCATTAATCTTCTCTTTATTCCATGAAACAGGCCGAACTTCCGTGGTGCTCCCCTTGAACGATCACAGCCTATTCCCTTATTGCTTATGGTCTTCCTTGAAACCAGACCTGGAGCCTGGCTGCAGGCTTCAGGTGCCTCCCAGGTATCCCCCAGGGCACCAGAGCATTGCGTGTCCCAGGGACTTGGGCCACTCTCTGAGAGAGGCTCACAGAAGCTCACATTTTCTTGCCCTAATTTCTCAAAAATGGGACTAGCATTCCCCTTCACAAACAGGTTAGTATCATACACTAATGACTGGGAGAAAAAAAGCCTAAAAATGGGTAACTTAAGCATGTCCAAATGTCTCAGAAACCAAAGAGTAGAGTGCCCAATTTAAAAAAAAAATATAAAAAAAGTAGGCAAACAAACCAGCAAACAGAAGCTCTTACCAATGATCCCAGTCCTCCCAGAGCTACCAGCTGAAGCTGCAATACCAGGTCTGTGGCACTGTCATGATTGCGTCCACATAACGTGTCCTACTGCCCCCACATAACTTGTCCCCATGTCCCCAGTCAGGCTCAGTATGCTCTAGCAAAGTTCTCTTTTACACCTCTTTTTAAAGTGTTCTTAAAATAAAGTGTGTTTAGAACATATTTTGCCAAAACTTGATTTCAAAGAGCAATCAGAGTGAGAGCTCTCCCTTGAGCATTCCTGTTAAGAATTAAGTTCTATCTCTACAAAAAATAAGGATAGTTTGGGTGACTTTGACATGACCCAAACAGACACAGAAGAGACATGATCACCTCCAGTTTCAGGTTGCAAACAGCTGCTGCTTGCAGTGCTTTATCTGTAAAACAGCAGCTGCATCATTTTCTGCACATGTTGTGTGAATTGCATTTACAACATGACAGTGCAACTTAGCTCTGTAGTTCAAGGCTGCTGACCTAGTGCCTCTTCATGACCACAGTTATCAAAAACATCACACCCATATCATTTCTGCACACATTGCCCCAACCTGTGTTGTACAGAAATTTACAGCAAATAGGACTTTTCCTTTAACTATCAAAGCCAAAGTTTCTGCAATACCAAGTATACGAAACATAATCAGCTTGGAAAATCATCTGATGTTTTCGTAACGAAAGCAGAGGGAGTGCAAAGCCTTAGGTAACGTTTCTATCATTTTACATGAACGAGAAATTCTATGTAACATATAGATTATGTGAAAAGAAAAACTACAAGTGGACAATAAAAACCTGTCATCAGCTTAAAATATTTTAAGAATAAATAACAACTATCATCCGTAAGTGGATATTAACTGTCTTAAACTTTTGACATAGAAAAAAATACTTGTTTTTCAGGTAGTCTTTTGAATCTTTAGATCCACTGAGTGTGTCTCCACTGACTAGAAAAGGAAGCGTAACTGACATGTAGCTGACACATCTAGCTCACAAAGGCAGCTATATTTCAGTGCCTGGATCTGGAGCTGAGTCTTGACCTGAGGGCTCAGTTCAGTTGAACTAATGCTGCTTGAGATGAGGAGGTAGCACTCTGGATTTGTCGGAGCTCCGTTTTTCTGAAAAGTCAGCCTGATGCTTGGCAAGAAACCATAGGTTCAGTCAAGCTCACCTCAGTGGAAACCCACGAATCACTTCAGGTCCAAAAGCAAATGGATGTGTCTATGTACACGTTTGCTGCTTTTGTCTAAATTCCATATTTACGTCCTACTCCCTCCCTCTGTGGTTTATATCCTGCTTTACTCAGCTCTGAACTACACCTCGGGGCTGCTTTCTCAGCCCTGCAGCTCCCAGCTTAACCTACTCTTACATTACCTCAACAGTTGCTCTAAAATACCTGGAAGGAGCTTCACTAGAAATAGTACCTTAAGCACTTAAAGGAAATAGTTTCGATGTTAGGACTTACCTTCTGAGCTTAGCCTCTGCTGAACGCAGGCGCCTTCCCTCCCTGGTTTATCTCTGGAGCTCCTCCTACCCCTGGGGAGTTTCCAGCCATACCCAATTGCAGACAAAATTCTCCCTATGCCGTAAAACTGGCTCCACAGAGCTTAAAGGGGTACGTGTCTGAAAACTGCCGTCCAAGGCGGAGAATCTCTTTCTTTTGCAGTTTGCTGATTCGCCTATACCATGGCGTAGTTGCAGAGTTTCTTGTGGCCATTTACTCAGGTTCCTCTCTTGGAGTCTTTGGGGTGTTTCACTCCAATGCCTTACACACAGGAGCTAAACACTTTAAAACATTGAGAACAAAGATTTTTCTGGATCTCATTTAGGGTAACAGTAACTACTTAAAAGTAACCAGTAAAGTTTCTAGGCCTATCTCACTACTTAATAGTAACCTAGTATTTTATTTTCTGTGTTGTCTGGCCCAGAAAATATACACAAAGTATGGGATAACAGTGCCCAACTACTTCAAAATACAGTTTGCCAGTGCTTAGTGATAACTTGGTATAAAAAAATAGATAAGCAGCTTGTGTCAGAACTGAACCCATGTCATAAGGCGATAGCATTATTTTGCAAGTTGAGTGTATGTGGCAAATGCCCAGTTAGAGATGAAATAAACTATGATTTTCTTGTGCTGTTTCAGTGAGACATGACTGCCTCAGCTTTGCTATCTAGATGTCATATGAAATGACTAAAAGTGGATGTGAATAGATAAAAGGTGGTCTGGCAGATGGGAAACAGGATTCTGACACCAACTATCACGTCCTTTAGTGTAGGCTCACATAGGATATTGAGCATTACTTTACATCTGCATTAGATATTAGTACAGATAATTTGAAGATCTGTTCATAAAACCCACACTGTTATCAAAACTCTATTTATCAGTCTAAAGCCACAACTGTACCAACACAGCACCTCAAGATGGGGAATCTCAGGACAAAAGTCTCTAGCTAGCTATCTGGAGGAAATCCCCCCAAAACTGCTATTTTATTTTTTCCTCACATTTATGGTTTTGTGATGGTTTGTGGTGGTTTCCCTGCCTGGAAGTTGCTGTCAGTCTCTTCCACAGGATGCAGTTTCACTACAGGCTTCTTGGAAATTTAAAATGTATGCATTCAGAGACTGATGGTGTATGCAAAATACAACTGTATGGCTCTTCCTCATGCCTAATTCTCTCTTTAAGGTTCATCATCTAGTGAATAAAGCACAGCCTTAAATGTCTGCTTCTGCATTGCTTCCATGTCAAACCCAGTTAGCTCCCTCCAGAAAATTCCCGAGTATAGGTCATAAGTACGTGTTCATACCTGTCTGCATTGGCAGCACTACATCAAGATTAGTCTATTCCTGCTTTTGAGGTTTCTGGTACCAGTAAGTACCTGAGTGCAAGGGTTGGTTCAGGAACAGTGACCAAAGCATGCAAGTCTTCCTTGTCCTTTCTGCAGTCTCCAGTGCAAACAAGGGCAGCAAGAGGGCCTAATGTCCAGGAAGAGGGGGTCCATTGTTCTCTTTTTATTTTGCTTTCAGCACAGCCTTTCAGTGTAATTTCTAAAGCTCCTTTGACATCTATATCTGTTGCCTATGAGGTTGCTTTCATATGTAACTTGAATAGCTGTTCTATGAACCTCTAGAGTAGAAAAGAAAACAAGTTTCTTTTATAAAACATTTGGTAAGCCACACCTGTGAGTATTGAAGCAGCTGGCATGGAGCCCAGGTACCACTTAAATGATCTTGGGTTGGGCATAGGCAGATTTTAAATAATACACATACCGTACCACAACATGTCAAGTTCCCACTGTGCTCTGTGGACACATTTCATTGTGATGTAGCTTGGAGAAGTCCAAAGACTTCTCTAAAGGAACTTGCCTGTGATCCTCACAAGCCACCCTGCAGCTGGCCAGGGGGACCATAGCTGCTTCCAGCAGCATCCTGCCAGAGGTGAAGACAGCACATACAGCTAAATGCCATGGGAGATTTAGGCAAGGGGGCTCACAGATTCTCCCTTTGCTTCTGATCAAGTTCTTAGAGTGAAGCACAATGCCTTGATAAAAAATTAGAGTCCATATGAGTACCTAGAACAATCCCTGTGTCACGCAAACCCAGACTTGCCAACTTTTCATAAAGTAACCTTCCAGTGACCGCTCTGGGTCTGTCCTGGAAGCTTTACCGAGCTCCCAAGTACAAGGTCAGCCATGCCCACATTTGCCTTCCTGCGTATCTCTGCAAGCTGTTTGGCACCTGTCCAGGCCACCGGCACAGAAAAGTCTGAGAACAGAAATCCTAATCCCGAGTTACGCCCATGGCGCTGCTGGCAAGGAGAGCTTAAATGCAGAGCCAGAGACGAGATTTATGCTAGCAGACAAAGCGAGGCCAGCGCACAGACTCCAGGCAGCACTGGCACGTGCCTCTCCATATAGCAAAAATTTCCTAAAACAGTGTTGACCTGTGCCAACTAATGCTATCCCACATGGCATTCAAGCACCATGGGTGGGGAAGCGTAGGCTTCATAGGTCATTTCCAATAACCAGTTCAGGTGCAGCCACCTGACTGAGATTGGCTGTAGGGACTTGAGCTCCACCATGCCAAGGGCTGCAAGGTCAGAGAACTCTCCTGGAGCAATGTGACCAGCATGGACATTGACAAATAACACAGACTGATTGTTTGAGGGGGTCTGGACAGAACCTAGAGCGACATTTAGTGATGCACCCAGGAACGAGGACAGTGAGGACAACGTGAGGGTAGGCTACAAGCTAGCGGGCAGGGAAAGATGCCTTACGTGGCTTACAACTCTGTGCAACATCAGGGGCCAACCTAAATACCAGTTATGCACATGCCCCAAAGGAGCATAATCTACAGAGATATCTAGCCATCAATTTGTACTACTTTAAAATAAGTTTAAGGCATGTCAGTTTATAGAATGTTACTATTTGGACCCTTTAGCACTTATTGACTATTGATCTAAGTACCTCAGCATGGGCAAAAGGCTTATTACGTAAGCATGAGATATGCAATATCAAGGCTTTAAAGCCAACTGAAAAGTAACTCTAATCCATATTGTGAAATATTTATCTTAAATAAGTAAGGTATTATAATGACTTATTTCAACTTGTAACTTGTGTAAGTGTGTGTGTCCTCTGTATGGTTTCTGGCATGTACTGGGAAGACTCCCAGTTTATGTGCATTGTTACAATTATCTATTTAGGAACAGGTAATAATCCAGTTTAGGTTTAAAGAATCTGTCTTCAGAAGGGGATGTTGGGAAGTAAGACAGAACTTTCAGTCCTGTTTTTATCTGATGTTGATCAAGCTGGACAAGAATATGTTTTCAATAAACGATAAAAATGATTATTTGAAAATATTTAAAAGCAGCCCTTATCCCATGTGACATTTTTTTTTATTTGCTTTGGTCATTGTCTTTATAAAACCAGATTTATTTATACAACTCATATAAGGAGAAACAGATTTCATTGACAACAAAGACAATTTCTTCTCTTATAAAACAGCTTTGTTTTTATTGAAGTTAGTGTTTCCCTGGAGATCATCAGAATTTTCATAAGACCCAGCATTCTTTATACATATTTTAACCTTAGTTTCTCTTCAAAGCCAAATATTATCTCATTTCCTTAGACTCTTCTACACAGATCCATCAGCACAGAAAGATTCAATGACACATTATTTATACAATATACAACTGTCTGACTTTTAAGGTAATCTTTATTTGGTGTTTTGTGTCATCTTCAAAATTGTAAGATATGTGTGTTTTAATGATATTTATGAGTAAACTTCTACCTCTGCATTTACCTGTCTTGCAGATACATTTAACAGTTTGAGAAATGTAAGCTCAATATGATATTGTTTTGCCCCTGTTGCATGTTCAACATCATACAAATCTAGGAAAAAAATATAAATAACAATAAAAAAATAAAAATAAAAGTTCAACTAGGAAAAGGGGCTGAAAAATGACCGCAGATGGAACTTGGCTTCATTTCCTATTGAAAATTCTGTGTGTTAATGCTGCAGCTTCTTCATCTTGTGGTGACCTTCTTGTCAGGTTGGAGGAAATTTTTAATTGTGGCAATGCTGCTTTCACTTGCTTTAAAAGCCTAAAATTGGAAACAGTTCAGCTTCTAAGAAGAAGGGTGGGAAACGTTCTAATGACAAGCCAAGACTTGTGAAATAAGCCTCACCAAGTGGTGGTTCAAAACTGGGAGGGGGCAGTTTTCTAAAAGCAAATGATACAACCTCAGAGAAAAGTAGATACAAGTCAGGTGGTACAAGTCATAGAATCATAGATTCATAGAACGGCTTGGGTTGGAAGAGACATGAAAGACCACCTAGTTCCAAGCCCCCTGCCATGGGCAGGGATGCCACCCACTAGATCAGGTTGCCCAAAGCCCCATCCAGCCTAGCCTTGAACACTTCCAGGGATGGGGCATCCACAACCTCTCTGGGCAATCTGTTCCAGTGCCTCACTACCCTGACAATGAAGAATTTCCTCCCAATGTCTAGTCTAAATCTCTTAATTTTAGTTTAAGACCATCCCCCTTGTCCTATCATTATTTACCCAAGTAAAGGGTCCTCCTCTATCTTTTTTATAAGACTCCTTTAAGTACTGAAGGGCAGCAATGAGGTCTCCCCAGAGCCTTCTTTTGTCCAGGCTGAACATCCCCAGCTCTCTCAGCCTTTCTTCATAGGAGAGGTGCTCCAGCAATGGAAGGTGTAAAGGAGTTTTCAGTACTGGGATAGTCTGCCTTTCAGAATTTAATCTTTCAGAGCTAGAGAGCTGCTTAACACCTGAAAGTTCATGATTTCTTCCAAGATTCCACAGCACTAATTACTATATATTTGATATCACTTTTATCCTTTCAAGTTCCTGACCTCAATGATATCCTCTAACAATGATTTCCACAGTTCTAGTGTGAAACTGTTGCCTTTTTTTCTGCTTGTATTTTGCTGCTTTTAATTTGAGTGTCTTATTCCGCTTATAAGACAGGGAATATGAAAACCACTCTCCCTCTCTCACTGGAACCACAAAGATAAAAAATAATTTATATAATAGTTTTGTTTGTTTCTTTCTTTTAAACACATAGGACCATAATTCACTTCTCACATATATTTCTCAGCTCTGCTTTTACTTATTATTACTATTATTTTATATTCTCTGTGCATACTTTATAGACTGTGTTTCCCGATGCTCTCTCTATTAGTTCTGCATTCCAGCAAGGAGCTGCCAAAGCATTTTAACTTCTCTTCCACAAAGCTTGGAATGAATATGACTGTCTTATTATTTGATTTAATTACCTGCAGCAAAGAAAATTTGGAGATAATGTGGACGTTTTCACTTCTGCCATCAAGATTGTTTCATCAGTTGGATTTCTGCCCAGGTGAGCTGGTTTCCAAAAAGGAACTTCAAAGAATTCCAAGGAATCTACAGAAAGTGGGAGAAATTTTCATATATATCAGCATATTCCAGTCTCAGCTAAAAGATCATTAAAGTATTATACCTTTACCCACCTTGTAAAGTAGGTGTTGTATATAAACAGGAAAAACCTGATTATTTTGGCAATGGACAACATGAGCAAAATCCTTCTCTTTGACTTCAGACAGTGTACCTAGGGAATGTACCCAAAGCAGAATTAAGATTTGAAAAGTAAGGAGTGAGCACAAGGAAGTAGGAATGAGCACATTGCACTCACCTTTGGAATGGAAGATACCTTGCACTCAGGCTATTTACTGCCTGGGGCTGGGAAAGTCCTACCTTCTTGTACAGCTAATGATGGGTCTCATTAACGAATTAATGAATGGGATTCAGGATCCACTTCTGCTCCTCTCCATTGACTGCAAAGAGGTTTTGGGTCTTGGTAGGTTTGATTCAGTCCCCAGTCTCTTAAATTCTGACAACACAGTAAAAACCCTGCTGTTTGCTATCAAACATGCAAACATACCAAAAGGAGGTATTTACAGTTGAAATACAGGTCATTGTTGGAAGCGCTCCATCCAGTAAGACTTTTAGCTCGGACTATCATCTGGAAGGCTTACTCTTGTGTTTCAAAACAGGAGAATGGACATCCATCTCTTCTGTCTGTCCATTTTGTGATTATGGGGATGTGGTCTCTCACCTTCTGCCTGACCATTAAAGAGCTCACTTTTAATGTAGATAACACTATAATTCAAGAAAGTGAACCACTTCTCAGTACTGATAGACATAAAAATTGTGACTAGCTTGATTCAAGAGGAAAATAATTTCTAAGAATTTAAAAACAAGTCATTAAATACAGAGTTGATGAAATATTCATGACCTAAACGTACATTTCAGTATTATTTCGGCATTCCTGGTCAGGAATATTGAAAAAAGGCTTTGGGGTACTTGAGAACCAGGGCGATGCTGTGTATAACCTTTATATACAAAGTGATAAATCTGTAGCAAGTAAAACAGTGTAAATACACTCATGTTATAGAAGTGGTTATGTTTCAATAGGTTATGTTTCAATGTGTCTTCCAAGGCTGGTACAAAGTTGGACTAGGTGATCTTTCAAGGTGCCTCCCAACTGAACTATTCTGTTCTATAGCAAACACGGGAATGCCACTTTAGGATAGCATTTTTTATTACCAGGAATGTGTATTAGGAGAGTGTTTTTATTAACTTACCTCCAAACAGAATTTGGTCATGACAGCCAAGTACATAACCTTAACCAATAAAATTGTGCAACATTATACAAAAAGATGTATGAATCCTTCTGTAGGTTAAGCCTTTCCATAGGCTTACATACATGATTTAATTACTGTCCAGACATTTCCATCCACAGTGTTTCATATCTACAAGGTGTTTCCTGTGGACACCCTCAGCAATAAAATCAGCACTGGCTGCCTAGTGTTGTAGCTGAATGCAGAGATTCCTAGTTTTCCTCATAGGAATGACCAGAAAAGACAGATCAGTCTTTGAGGCTTAAACATATACATTTGTCTTCAATAGGCTGTTTTGGAAAGGTGTGCCTCTTGCTTCAAGGACCAGGACACCATGCAACCTGTGACATACTTTCCTAGTACAAAAACAATTTCTAGATCCAACAGAAGTACTTTCTCCAGCCTCAAGCCTGTACAGCTTCATATTTATATCTGTTACAATGAGCAAGAAGGTACCATGGCACTAGAAAAATAAACAATGTGCTTGTCTAATTAAGGTTAAGATACACACAGTAATGTTGCACCTTTTTTCTTTTTATGTTGTGTGGGCATACTTTGCATGTGAGAACTTAAACAATGAGGTACTATGCAACGCGTGAGAGCTACACCTTTCATTGCAAGGCTGTCGCCATGCAAGCCCTTCTTAGACAAACTTTATCAGAAATGATTGACCAAAAGGTCATCCCAAGAGTAAAGACTTCCTGCAGCAAATCTGCTGACTAATAGCAGAGTTCGATAAGGTAGTTACTTCCTTGACAAAGGGGGTGGATACACATTAGTTCATCTGTGCATGAACTAATGTGTATCTGAGTAGGGCTGGCAGAGCTGGGATCGTGAGCTAAGCTTGGGAGCATCAGGCTGAAGGATAAGGTTAAGCTCCTTCTGCCTCTTGCCAGCAGGAAGGTAATATTTCCATTCCATCTACTCTCGATTGACCTTTCCACTGTGTGAGTTTGAAGGGTTCTGCTGCAGTGTAGAAATTGTTCTGAAATGGATAGTAGGGCAAGCAACAGAAAGAATTGGAAGCTACAGCATTTTTTATTCATTCTCAGTGTACGTACTACTGATTCAGGTCACCAAATCTCACATTTCTTCCCTCTTGTCACTTTCTTCTTTATCTTCTGCAAACTTTGTTAATTTTTCTTTCAGTTCCATAAAATGACATAAATAAAATTTTACAGTAAAATGTCAAATTGCAAAGTGCCAAGGGTATAACTGTGTTGAACTATCTAACGTTTAGTGACAGAGAGGGCAGGAACAGCCTCTTCTCAGAAAAGCATGCTGAAAGGATGGGAGAGGACTGCAACAGAAGTTGCAGCATGAGAAATTTTAAACAGACAAAGCTGAAGAAAGTTTTGCAATGACTTGGTCAGAACCTGGAGGGGCTGCTGGAGGTGTGTATATGTCTGATTTCTGCTCTGTACTCTTAGGGGGCTTGCAGTTATAACCTTGGAGAGGTTAACCATGCCTTACAGTTCAGTTAACTTACCATCTGGAGATAACTATTTCTTTCCACTGACTACAAAAGTAGTCATCGTTCAAAATCAAGCACCTGGTGCTTTTAATTCTAGAGTTACTGTACCAGGCTTTGTCTCATTTAGGTCTTTCTCACAGAGGTTGTACTTTTCCTGCTGTGCTGCTGGGGATGGTTCAGGGCCGCACCATCTTCATCCTACATCTCCAACATGGGCACTTGCTGAAAGAGCAGGGCTCCATCTAGGGACAGAGGAAAAGTAACATCAGGCTAATTCAATGCCTTTTGTGTTGTTGAAATTCGGCTAGTACTACAACCTAGTAGTTGCCTAGGGAAGAAATTTTCCCCCAGAGCAAACAGGATATAGAAGAGCCTTTGCTAGGAGCAGGATCTTAAGCACGATGTAAACAATAAAACATTGATTAGCATGGGAGAGATATTGTGGCTGAGCAGTATCCTATGCTGTTGTCCTCTTCCCTCTTTAGGGAAGTGATATCCTCAAAAAACCCACGTCACACTCAGGATGTGTTTATGAACACTTTGCAAAGGTTAAGAGATTCTGTTTCAACTGCTACTAATCACACAAAAATGTTTTCTATGTTGCCATGAATATGCAGACACCTTGGACTTTACAATTCTTGAGTTACCATTTTAATAATAAACAAATAGGTTGCTCAACTCCTTATTTAAAAGATGCCTGGTGGCACCCACTAAACACTACTCTCCAGCTTCCCACCTTGCAGCAGCAGTAGCCTGCCAGCTGTCTTTGGCATCTTCCACAAAGACAAGCTTTTTGAATTGTATTTCTGCAGGGGATTGACTTAATTCGTGCCAGATGTCCCTGCTGGGGCTGTGCATCAGAAATGAGAGAAATAAAGCCAAACAGAGTGTTCCTGTCTCAGCTTTCCTACAACTCATTGCCAAGGGTGAGTGTAAGCCCCAGTGGTCCTCTGAGGGCTCCTCTGTGCCCATGCCCAAGCAGGAACATGCAGCTGATGCTCAGATCCTACCTAGCACCCCCAAAATATGAACCTACCCCCTCCTGAACCTCAAAGCAGTGGCCAATGCTGTTGCGAATCATGGCCGAAAGCACGACAGACACCAGCTAGAGTCAGATCATGCTGCTCCATTTTATTGCCCGAATAGCCTAACTTTTATAGTGAACTTTACAGGGGCGGACAGTGTTTCACACACGATTATTGGTCAAGAGCACTCAGACAAACAACTATAAGAAAACAACCCCACCTGCAAGAAAAGAACCCCCCTTGTGATTAGCAGTCAGGAAAACAACCCCCTTTGTGATTAGCGGTCACGTAGACCCAGTCCTTGAGGCCAGCTGCTGGTAACAGTATTTTCTGAGTTCCTTAATTGGGCGATGTGGGAGTCACTGCCCTGGGAGCTTCTCACAGTTCCTCTGGCAGCTTGGCTTGCTCAGCTACAGCAGGCCCTGAGATTTCTAAGGCCTACCCCTGGCTGCTTAAAGCAAGCTCAGATCGAACAATTGTTCCACAGGCACATGTCCACGTCCTGTATGCCAATTCCCAACACAATGCACAGGAGCATTTGCTCCAAGGTACCCAGCAGGTCCCAGTAACCCACATGGCCTTTCCTCCTCTTCCTTTGCTCCTTCCTTCAGTGAGAATTTTCCTACTGCTTTCATTGGGAATGGACTTGTAATTCCACTGATGGCCAATGTTTTTAACCCAAACAGGTTGTGTAGGACCACAGTGCTTACTTCCACTAAGCACAGCTTCTGCCTGGCTATCAGAATGATGCTGCAAGCTGCTTTGTATATATAAGTCTTGCCAGAGCAAGGGTTGAAAGCAAACCTAAGTCCTTGCAAAATGCATCAGAACTGTCTTAAGCACTTAAGTGCTTTGGGACGGTTCAGAGTGAAGTTATTCTTAGGATCACTGTGCATTCTGCCAAGAGGTATTGGGCCAGCAGCACTGGGAAACAGGGGAGATGATAACAAGCATCTGTATATTTTCTTTGCTTGCTACTGTCCTGAAGGCTGGTAACAGAACTGAAGTACTCTGATGTGTCTTAAGAGCATTATCTACTAAAGACCTAAGTAATTACCACTAGTAATTACAAGTCCTGTACAAGGACTCAAGGATACTCAATAAGGAGGTATTTTACACTTCTCTGGCTATTAGGCAATTCCTGAAGATTGATGGCCTCTAAGACCCCTCTGCTTCTCATGAGGTTTACAAAAGACTTAGATCTAACTTATTTCCTCTCTAGTTTACCCAAAATTTGGAAGATCACAATAATAATCTATAGACCTGTCACTCTGTGGAGGCTAAAAACTAAAGTGATAAAGTGAACTAAAGCGATAAACCTATATGGAAATATCCAGATAAGAAACACACCATCCTTAGAATTATTGCCTATTCCTTCCAGTGAGGAACAGCTCAGAACAGACCCTTGTCCAGCACTACTAATTTTCTTGACAAAAAAATAGCTAGTAACATGATTAAGTTCACCGTAAAGCATACTACCACTGGCCAGGGGGCTGCTTTTCTTCTGCTTTTTACTGTTTATCAACCAGGTTTGATTTGATTTTCTCCATATGAGCACCTAGTGACACCTCGGATATCCTGTGTCAGCTGTTCCAGAAGGCCACGAGTCTCCAGTAGTGCCTGTGTCACACTATGCAGCCCTTTGATGACAGTGTAAGTGGAGGTTGTGTTACATGGAGGGGTACACTGCTAATTCATATATAAACACAAAAAGAATGCAAGTTCTCATTAACCCTCTCTCACAGAATAAACTGACACTTAATAAAATATCAGGAAATAACCCATCAGCTGGGCCAGATCAGGGTCTATCTACGTTAGAGGTCTGGAATAGGAGAATGTTTTTAAAGTGCATTTCTTGACTGTACTTTGGCTCTCACCGCATTGTGATCTTGGACTGCACAAAATGGATCTCTGCTGGGTGAAATTAAATTGAAAATTGTGCTTTCAGAGTACAGTCTAAACAGCACTCAGTCACCACAACCACTCAAGCTAGGCTGAAG